AAGCAGCGTCAGCTCCCCTTCCACATGCACATTAACCTCGAGCTTCTCGAGTGCGTGTACCTTACCTGCAGCATGCTCCTGGAGATCCCCCTCTTGGCGCAGACTGGCTCCTCCCCCGACGTCAGGAAGCGTGTTATTAGCAAGACTTACCGCCGCATGCTCGAGTACCACGAGCGCCAGATCTTCACTGGCCCCCCCGAGAACACGAGAGACCACGTCATGCAGGCTTCCAAGGCCTTGGCCGCTGGCGAGTGGAAGAAGTCCACCACCTTTATCCACAGCATCAAGATCTGGGATCTCATGCCCAACACCGAGGACATCAAGACCATGCTCTCCAAGCAGATCCAGGAGGAGGGTCTGCGGACATACCTCTTCACCTACGCTCCCTTCTACGACACCCTGGCCGTGGAGACTTTGAGCAACATGTTCGAGCTGGACGCCAGCAAGGTCCTCGCGATCGTCAGCAAGATGATCAGCCACGAGGAGCTCGCCGCGTCCCTCGACCAGGTCACATCGACCGTCATCTTCCGCAAGGGCGTCGAGCTCAGCCGTCTGCAGAGCCTGGCCCTCACCCTCTCAGACAAGGCCAGCGCGCTCATCGAGACCAACGAGCGGACACTGGAGCAGCGCACCCAGGGCTCTGCCAACGCGTTCGAGAGACAGGGCGGCCGCGGCGGCCGTGGCGGACGCGGTGGTGCGAGGGGCGGCAACAGAGGAGGCGCGAGGACGGGCGGCAACCCCCAACGGCAGGCCGGCGGTACTCAGTTCACGGGCGGCGCGTTGGGTGCTGCGGTCCGGGGATGAGAGAGTGACAGGGAGAGAAATGAGCGGAAGAATTGAAACGGGGGTTCCTGGGGTTTTCACGCTTGTATCTTGCATTAGGGTTGGGTTGCTTAATCCAAAATACCGGCCGCGCGGGGTTCCAGAAAGAAAAAAAGAGCCTTGGCTGGTTAGGTGTTTGTAGCTTCAGGGAATAGAAGCTGATAGAGTTACGTCACGTCCATGATGCAGAGTGTGTATGAATGTCACGATTTAGCCGTTACCACGAATGATGGCTTTCCCTAGGCGTGTCCCCGATTTGTAGCAGCCGTAAAGTAGAAAGACACCGAGTTATAGAAATTTTCTCTCCACGAGCAGCGAAGTAATCTTGATGCGGTTATTCGTCTAAAGAATTGTATCAGATTTCCAGGCTTCCCCTCGCGAACTTACACAGCTGACCAGGCTTGATTTTGGCAGAGAATTGGGTTTCGAGGAATCTCCAACTCAACCCAAATTTCATACTCCACTCAGCCTCAGCCGTACCTGACAACACCACATTCCATAACCCCATGAAATGTGCCTCCTCCGCTGCCAGATGACCTGCAATCGACGAATTTCGTCCTCCGAACAAACTGTAAGCCTTCTTAACCTCTCTCTTCGGCCTCCGACTTAACATCGGGTCCTCGGACCCATCACATAACCCGCCTTGCTAGCTCAATCGGTAGAGCGTGAGACTCTTAATCTCAAGGTTGCGGGTTCGACCCCCGCGTGAGGCTCAAATCCTCACGGCGATTGGCAAAGCCATTCATTCTGCGGGTTACTTTTTCGTCTTTTTGATTGTTGATGTTTGCCCATATTCGCGTTACACCACCAGACGAGGAGCGAATCTTCACCGTGGTATCTATCACAAGATCACAAAGACGCCAAGAAAGAGTCAAGATGTATGGGTATGGACGGATACATTTTGCTCATGCGCGCGCATGTGCAGCCTATCAACGCAGCTGTTTCTTCGCAATCCTACCAACGACGTTTGCTATTCACTGCATTTTTAACTTACCCCAAGGGAATGACCGCTCACAGTAGCAACACTAGCAAGGCGTTGGCCGACTATCTACACTTCCTCTGCAAAGCACTCGTCGAACCTGGGAATAAAATGAGGGATCTCTTCCCTGCTTGGTGTCGTTCTCCAGGTTCTGGTATTGAATTCTCACGAGTCCGGTCATCTACCTGTAGCTTTCCGCCCTTCCCCCATATGCCATGGCAGAGCAAAAGAAGACGGGAAAGTAAGGCCATCATCCATCACCTACCTCATTTGACTGGGTGATATCACTACCGTACCCTACCTTTCTGTCCTATACTCCGTACATAGTTGGATCATTGGTCAAGAAGACCCAGCACGCTAATCTTTGCGATGACCCACCAGAAGAAGAACTTGACGACGAAGTTGAGTCAAATCACGGAGAGAAAAAACTCGGCGATTAGATGGATCGATAAGATAATGACACCATTGGTAGAAATGTGGACAATGTGTGTCGTAATCTCCTCATACCCTCCTCCACTTAGTATCCCATTCATGGTGAGAGGAGCCTGAACAGCTCATCGGGAATAGGTCTTTGATGATCGGACTTTGACGCCAATATTGGTTAGGCTTGGTGTTCGGACAAGCCCCGTTGAAGAATGCGTCCATGAAGTTGACAGACTCCACCGAAAACGAGTGAGGCATACGGAGTACATCACGAATATTGCCAGAGACTGAAGCGTGTGTGCGCGGTTAAAAATTCGATCTGATAACGGCCAAAATCCGGGGCAGCATGAGCACGTTCCTTTGATTCCTTTGATTCTCTCTCTTTCATTCCGAGCTAGAGTTCCGAGCCCTCTCCACCAAAACCCGCCGCGGTTGCCGAATCAATTTCAACCGAGGTCATTCTGGCACCCACTTCAATGCCGAACAACAACCTGAACTTTCAAAGGTCTGCCAGCAGAACGGATACAGCATAGGTAGGTACCTTACAAGTTACACTGCACCAGTGCAGCACCAAGGCGCTGGATGGGAAGCATCGGCCCGCCGCCGGCAGCAACGCCATCTTTCCCTTTGGTCGCACAAACATGAGCCGAAGGAGCTTGAACTGCTCTAACGAGTCTCTTAGGCGATTGCCTAGCTACCTGACGGTCACATACCAGTAAACCTTGTGACCCATCCATGGCATCCATCGGCGTGTGCCGTCGGTAAAAACCAGCACTGCAACGAGCATCCACCTCGGCGCATGAACATGGCTAATCGGGACAACGGCTTTGGGTTCTTCTTGCAGCTACCAGCTGGACTTTATTTTAGCGTTCACTTGCCCGTCTCTTTCCTTTTTCTCTCTTCTGATTCAGAGAGAGAGCGATTTTTGGGTGTGATTTCTTACTTGGTCGGGGTTTCTTTTGCAACACCATAGCTCCTCCCACTTCCTAGAGGGGTCCCGTCCTTCTTCACAAGCTTGCCATTGACATTGACGTGACGTCGAACAGACGAGAACCCACACACAGCTTTCCCTCCCGCCTTTCCCTCTCTCTTCCTCTCACTCTCGCCCTCCGATCTTCGGGATAAAGCTTTACCACCGACACCGAGCTCGAAAACAGGACCCTACCTCACTCGGGAGCTTCTCGCCCACAAACCCTTGATCGTCGTGAGACTTTTTCTTTTTCCCCTCTGTGTCTGCCGTCCTCTTTTCTTTTTCCTCGGACGGAAAGGAAACCACCACAGATCGGGTTCCGCGAGACGAAAAGAAAAAAAGCCCACCCAAATCGACAGCCAACGGCCCTCACTCGTCTTTGCCCAACATGTCCACAGAAACAGCCGACCAGGCGCCCGCCGTCTCCGACCTCCCCTCCGGCGACCCCATCCCCTCCGGCGACCCCATCCCCGCCGCGCCCGCGCCCGCGCCCGCGCCCGCGCCGCCGACCGCCGCATCACCAGCCTCAGCAACCCCAAAAGGCACGACGACCAAGAAACCCACCCTCGGCCAGCTCCTCGCCGCGACGCCCTCCAACGTCGACGCCTTCGTCGCCCACCTGAACCGCTGCTTCGCGACTCCGTCCGGCATCGACGCCGTCCTCTGCTTCCTCTGCTACACCTCGCGCTTCTCCGCCTCCGTCATCGACTCCCTCAGCGCCTCCGCCCTCCGCCACTCGGCCCGCAAGCTCGTCGCCCTCGCCTTCTCCCTCCCGCCCGACACGACTATTCTCTTGAGCAAAGCGCCGCCCGCGGCGGCGGCTGCGAGCCGCGGCATGCGCGTCGCGGGACACTTGAGGGCGTTGGCGTCGCTGCTGAGCGAGGCGCGCACGATTACGAGGTTGTGGGCTCTGCTGCCGCTGTACCTCTGGCTCCGCCGCCTCATGACGACGCCGAGCATCACGGAGGAACAAAAAGAAAAGGGCGACAAGTACGCGGCGTCCGAGGCGGCGCTGGATAGGGCGCTCTCGTGGCTGCAGGTCGTGGCGTGTTTGGTTTTGCAGTCGCTCGAGAGCTCGTCGTATCTTGCGTCCAAGGGGGTGCTGCCGATGACGCCCAAGCAGCAGGGGACGGCGGCGCGGTGGAGCGTGCGGTTCTGGTCCGTGTTTGTGGGCAGTGAGCTCGGCCGGTTGGCGATTGAGAAGCTGAGGCGGCGGGCCAAGATTGGGCGCGGGGAGCTGGAGGTGAGTAGCGGGGAGTATAAGGAGTGGGCGGATGTCTGGGGACGGACGCTGGCGAGGCAGGCTTCGTGGTTCCCGTTGACGGTACATTGGAGTATGGATAAGGGGTTCGTGCCGGAGATGGGGATTGGGTTGTTGGGGAGTATTCCTGGTATTGTGCAGATGCGGCAGCTGTGGAAGGAGACTGCTTGAGGGGGGTGGGGGGTTGGGGGTTGGCCAGATGTAGAGTTGGAAAGAGTGGGAGGAGTCCTCGAATAAGACTGGAATCGAACGAAGAGATGCATACATATGAGACGGGTAGACGCACCATACCGCCACTATCGAGACAGCTTTCCTGTGGAAAGCTCGTGGTATCAGAGTCTGTTGTGACGCAGGCGATCTGCTCGCTGGTGTTGGGTACGAATTTTCCATTTCATGTTTATGATATAATACATGTCAATTTTTTTTTTCCAAAGAATCAGAATCCAAAGCACAAAACGCTATGCCCTTATCCTCCTTCCATCCATCTCTGTTCCTAGTTTAAACGCCAACCCCCGAGACGAGAACACCCCAGGTTTATGTGACGTCTACATCGGCATCCTCCTAACCTCCTCCATCGTCCAATACTTCCTCATATTCTCCGCCCCCAACGTCTCCACCTCCTGATCAAGATGCGTCCAGAGCACCTCGCCCCAACTATCCATCTTCTCTTTCAAGACGCCCAGCTCGAGCTCCGTCTCGCGGTCGCGGCAGGCGCGGAGGTAGGCCTCGAACTTGTCCATGCCGTCGTGGATCTGCTTGTGCTGCTTGAGCAGCTCGCCGCCGCGGCCGCCGCGGAACTCGGGCATGCGGCGGGCGAGCACGGGGAAGACGTGGGCTTCTTCGATGCCGTGGTGGGCTGTGAGGTGGCGGGTGAACTGGAGGCCCGTGTCGAGGAATTGTTTGAGGGACATGTTTTGGGGGCGGCGGTTTGTTGTTGCTGCTGTGTGGAGGAGGGTCCATTGGTGGCGGAAGTGGTTGTGCTTTTGTTTTTGGTCAGTTTTTGAGCAGGGTGCGTATCATCTTAATCTGGTCTCGTTCGATTTCGGAATGGGGAGGGTTGAGGGCGGTGAGAGAGGTGAGAGAGGTGAGGTTTGGGAGTGATGAGTGGCGCGATGTGTTGGGAGTGAGTTTCTTACAAAGTAGTTCATCTTTTCTGCCATTTGGTTGTAGACCCTGAACTCGGCCGGGGTCAGAGGGGGTAATTCAGGCTTGGCCGGCGTAGTCTCCTCCGTCGACGGTGTCACCGCCGCCGGCGTTGTCTGTGGTTCTTCGGCCGCGCTGGAGGACATGATGTTGAAGGTACGGATATTCCGAAGCCCTGGGAATTGAGTGTTTGCGAATACGCAGCAACGCGGGCTCTGAGCCGGGTTGGGATGACGACGGGGTCTGGAGATGAGATGAACTGCGCGGGCGCGGGTACTTTGCGATAAGACACTGCTCGCAGAAACTGTTGCTTTCATAGTGTTTTGGAGAAACACTTGCAGTTCACAAGAAGTTTCTTTCCTGCTTTATTCCACGGAGGGGGAGGGGGCATGTTTCTAGAGGTTTTATCCCAGGATCATGCGCGCGCGCGCCGCCCCTCCATCATCCGAGCGATGTGCTAGGCATGTAGGAATTGCCCGCGGCGGGTAGGCTAAACTGTTTACAGATGGATTTAGAGAAAGGAGCCCCTGCAAGTACACCGCGCGGCTGACGGTGCTTTGGATTTGGGGCTTGTTGGATTGGCCCGCCAGCTTTCCGCGTTGGCGACTTGGAAAGATGGAGACGAGACTTGTGGCGCGCGCTCGCTGGAAGCCCCATCTCGGGATCTCGCTCTCGAGACTTCATCATGCCGCCTCAACCAACCTACCTTACACTTGACATTTCGTCTGGAAGAAAAAACATTAGAAAATTGAGACTTCACGATCGATATTCACCGTAGTCAAGTCTCCATACCTGTGTCCCATTCCGCGATTGCGACCCATGGGTTTGAAGAGATTTCATTTCGGCGTTCTCAGATTGGTTGGTGGCCCTCTTACCCTCCTTACTCAGCTCTTTGAAAGCGGCGGCGGTGCGGCAGTCACATTGCGCGACTCGCTCTATGGCGCTGGGGGTGAATCCACCCATCGCTCTCGTTTACCCTTGCACCTGTGACCGCGCGCGGTTTCCAACCTCCAGTTCCATTCGTAAGAATCGGCCTCCGATATTGTCCGTCTGGTGAAGCTCCGCTCCGGGCCGGTGCCCCCATCCGCCACACCCGACTGTACTCCGTACACCGTAGCGGGTCCCATCCCGCATCCGGCCCCTCGGCCCGACTACGTACCGGGTGTCTGCGCTCATCACGTGCTTTCTAGCCTATGCGGCATGCGGGGGCAGATTTGCACTGCACTGTTAACTCATACACTGTCGGAGTGAGGAGAGGAGAGGAGAGGAGAGGAGACCAAGCTGTGGCAGGTCTCCTTACGGCATTGAATGGATGCATCGACTGTTTTCAATTGGTCCGCCACGTTAGCACAGCTCGCTGAAAGTTGGTCGATTCCGCGGGCCCGCGGTTCCCCGGGTCCCCACCCCCACCATCACAGGCAGCAGCAGGCAACACCAACACCCAGCCATAGGCAAAGGGAGGACTTACAAGCAAACGTGACCCCGTGACAACCTCGCGTTTTCCCGGTTAAGCTTCTGCCAACCATTTGGCGCCATCCTCAGCTGAAGTTTGCCGTCGGGACGCGGTCGCAGCCTAATTTGAACCACAACTGTCCCATAATCGGGCTTTCGACCCCTGAATCCATCCCTCTTGGCGATCCTTACGGTGACCCTTCAACCAATGTACAAAAGCTCGAGATTCATCCGCACTACAACAACAGCCAAAGTTGTTCTGCAATCCCATCATCTCCATCTTTTGCATTGCTGCGACCGGACATTCGATCGAGGTCGTTCTCATCGCTTCAATTCAAACTTGGCCTCAATTCACCGCAAAGGGAATCGACAGCAGCCGATATGTCGTCCACGTTGACTGTCCACGAGCGGCTCACCCTCTCCAAGTGGGCGTACAGCCTACCTGGCCACGTCACTCCGAGCCTCCCTCGCGGTGCCGAATGGGTCAAGAGCGAGTTCGGAAAGGATGTGCCCGAAGCCGTTATACTAGACCGCGCGGACACGATGGACGACCTCCATGCCTATATAAGACCTCCTCATCCAACACTACCTCTCTGCATAACAAGCAGCAACGACTGATCAGGAATGAAGAACGACGGCGAGATTGCCCCCCTGATCCGTCCAGGTTTCGGTAAAAACTTCCGGGACATGCCCGATGACGATGCCGCGTTCCCTTGCGCCGTTCAGGAGTGGAAGGCAGCGACCCTGACGTGGGCGGAGATCGCCATCTTGTGGTTCGTTGAGAAGATCACGAACATGCCTAATTGGCATGTCAAGGTCTTTAATGAAGAGATTGTCGCCAAGTGGAAGCAGGAGGTCATGGCTGTGGATTGGAAAGCCGTGGGTCTCAAGTATGCTTATTTTGACGAAGATCTGTTCAAGTCTGTAAGTGCCTGGATTCACCTGGCTCCCTGTTGGTAATAGGCTCCTAACTGGTGACGCAGGCTCTCGCTGAGCTTCGTGAGAAGGCTAAGCTGTATGAGGCTACTGGCTTGATCCCCGTCTTCGATGCCTCGTCCGTCGTCATCAGGTCTGACAACGCAATCACCCCAGAGGTAAAAGAGGAACTTCGAAAGGGCGTAGCTGCTCTTGAAAACGTCCCTGAAAACGAAAAGGACTGGCATCCCGGCAGCGACGGCAAGGTCTTGGACCTTGTCCACCCTTCTCTCTGGCCTCTTGTCTTTGGCAAGTCTCGCATCGTCTCCGATAAGCGTATCCTGCTAAAGGACACTCTGGCGGCATGCGGGCACGGGAGACGTCATTGCCGCTCCTAAGAATGCCGAAGACTCATCCGAAGGGCTGTGGTCCGTCAAGTTTCAGTGGCTCCCGTGCGACATTGATATCGAGGAGGGGAAACCAAAGATTATGAGCTACATCAACAACCTGCACCCGCAGCACCATGCCGGCCTCTACACCACGATCGAAAAGGTGCTCGAGAAATCTTTGCCCATGTGGGATCTGATCTACAGATGGCACGAAGACTACGAGACCCTCCGCATCCCCTGTGAATCAGCCAGGAGGAAGTGTCTGGTAAATTGTGCCTCATACTGCTGTCCCCCAAACCGCCCACTAGACCCAGACGAAGACGAGCGTGACGAGGATGATATCGACGACGCCGTCTACGATAGCGACGAGGAGCCCAGCCGCGAAGTCGAGAGAAGAGACAAGATCTGGTACTCGGCCACCCACCCCATCGAGAAGCCGCCCGTCCCCGAGTACAAGCCCATGGAGCTCCAGCCCAAGGACGTCAACCTCACCTCGGGCTTCTTCAACCACGCCGACCGCATCCAGGTTATTGTCAAGCTCGCCAACATCCACCTCACGCCCGAGAAGCCTACGTACGACGGCGGGTCCTGGCACATTGGGGGCCAGCTGAACGAGCACATCGCCGCCACGGCGCTCTACTACCTACTACGACAACGAAAACATCACCGACAGCCACCTCGTGTTCCGCACCGTCGCCGATAAAGAAGAGCTCATGGGGGAGCTGAATTACGAGCAGAGCGATCACTACAGCATCGACCGGACGTTCGCGATCAACTCCCACGCGGACACGAACCAGCACCTCGGCAGCGTGCTCACGCGCGAGGACAGGCTCCTCGCGTTCCCCAACGTCTACCAGCACTGCGTGGCGCCGTTCGAGCTCGAAGACAAGACGAAGGCGGGCCACCGCAAGATCCTCGCGCTGTTCTTCTCGTGGACCCGAGGATCCCTTTCATTGGAACGGCCAACGTGCCGCCGCAGCAGATGGGGTGGTGGAAGGAAGGGGCCACGCCGGGGGACAGGCTGGGGCCGCTGCCGCCCGAGGTTACGGAGATGGTGTTTGATAATATGGATTTCCCGATTGGGATTGAAGAGGCGAAGAGGATACGGGCTGATGTGTTGAAGGAGAGGACGACGATTGCCGAGGTTGGGATGAGGACGATGACGAATGGGGAGTGGAACTTTTGTGAGCACTGAGTCTCACGGAACGGCCCGTTGTATGTTCGTATGGAGAGAGGTGACCGCTCAACCGTCACGGCGGTGAAGGGAGGGAATTGGAAGCTACATTGAGGCGTTACTTCACCGGCCTGAAAGTTGGCACCAGAAATGTCAATAGCTGTGCAAATCGTCACACCCCAGCCTCAGCTCATAACTGTGGTTGTGATCCGATTGGAGGATCGGGCGGCATCTTGCTTTCCCGCAGTAAGACAAGTGGGTTTTGTCTCGAATTGTCTACCAATACGTTCGTCGGTTGTGAGACATTGAGAAATTGACACCAGAGCACAAGATGTTACTTATGAGGATCGTCTCCAGAACGAGCACACGCTCGCTGTCTGTTAGAAAATCGATATATACTTGTATCTGATAACCTTGTCTGATCCATGCTCCTCACCGGCGCAAATTCTAATCTCATATTTGTTTCCTTTGAAATCGCCTACGTCCCAAGCGCAAATCCTCATAGACCGTACTGCAACATGCTATGCTATCTATTCAACAGCTTCAAGTCTAAGAAGGACATGGACCTCAGCCTCAAGTCGCCATACCTTCAAGACGTCTCGACCCCTGAAAAATGGCTCGCCCACAAAGTCCACGAAGCAACCACCACCCCAAACACTAGTAGCATCGACGACCTGAACCCAAGCCTCGCCAACCTCCGCAACATAGTCCAAAACGACCCATCCCTCACCGCACTAGCAGACAAAATGTTCACCCAAGCCGCCGCCCTCCGCCCCCGCGACCCAACAGAACAACCCGCCATCCAAACCTTTCGCCAATTCCTACAGGTCGTCAACGTCATCATGCGCTCCGGGCCGCAGTTCTTCGACAGGCCAGGCAATGAGGACGCCATGGGCTTCGTGGCGGCGCCGATGAACGCGCTGCTGAATTGGCCGATGGGTACGGCGGCCGGGTATGAGTTCTTTCGGAGGCGGGAGGTGAATGAGGCGATGGGGTGCGTGTTGGGTGCTTGGGGCGGGTTTCTTGCTTCGAGGGCGTCGAGGGGGTGTTTGAGGGGGTGGGTTTCTGCTTCTGGGCAGGTTGTGATGGCGGAGAGGGCTAATGCAGCGGTGGGGGAGGGTGAGGAGAGGAAGGGGTTGGGGTTTCAGGAGTTGTTTGTTTGTCCTGATGCCGAGGATACGGAGACTCTTGGTTTCGAGTCGTGGGATGCATTTTTTGTGAGGCGGTTTCGGGAGGGGGTTCGGCCTGTTGAGTTCCCTGATGACGAGGACGCGGACCATGACGACGAGAAACCGTTCAGCGTGAACGGCGGCAGCAGCAGCAACAGCCTTGGCATCGAAGTCGACGACAATACCTCAGTCATCGTCAACGCGTGCGAATCGGCGCCGCTGCAAGTCGTATCCAACATCGCTCTCCGCGCCGACGTCACGCTTAAGGGCCAGCCATACTCCCTCGTCGACATGCTCAACGGCAACCCTCTTGCGCCGCAGTTCGTCGGTGGGACAGTCTACCAGGCCTACCTGAGCGCCTTCAGCTACCACCGCTGGCACGCGCCCGTGAGCGGGCGGATCGTCGAGGTCGAGATGATTCCGGGGACGTACTTTAGCGTGAATCGGTACCAGGGCTTAGCCATGACTGGGGGCGATGGTGCTGATGATGGTGACGCGGATCCGCAAGCGCCGTGTACGTCGCAGGCGTATACCGCCTCCGTGGCGACGCGGGCGGTGGTGTATATCCAGGCGCCGAATCCGAGGATCGGGATGATGGCGATTGTGTTTGTGGGTATGACGGAGGTGTCTAGCTGCGAGGTGACTGTCCGGGTTGGAGAGGATGTGGTGAAGGGGCAGGAGATTGGGATGTTTCATTTTGGGGGGAGTTCGCATTGTTTGGTGTTCCGGCCGGGTGTTGAGTTGAGGTTTGTTGGGAACCGGCCTCCTTGGGCTATGGGCCACGAGGCGAACAATAGGGTTAAAAGTGCTCTCGCCGTGGTTGGATGAGTTTCAGAAACGAATAGCTGCTGGAATTGGTAGACATTCTGTATGAGCAAATTCGAGACGACTGCCTAGATGAATCTATCATGTCGAGTCTACGATTCAATGCATTTTTTTCTAGCACCCGATTGGGATTGGGAAACTTGCTACTACTAAAATGTGCGGAAGAGAAGCAACGTGCTGGAAGTGTCTTACAATTACGCATGGTTGATACTATTTTCTATAGTACGTCTGAAGAACAAATCTCGTAGGTGACGACACCATCCATCTCGCTTCTTGCCTGCCCACAATCTCACTCATCTCATATGTGTCCGCATATACTAAGTATGCACCTAACATTTCGAGTCGCGAATCATAACGCTCCAATTGTCAGTGGGATGGAAAGCCTTGCCGCTGAAACCCTCTGAACCGTTCACAGAGCAAAACTTGGAAAGTTGAGACGCCATCGACGCAATGTCTTTGAAACTATCAAGTTTGATAGCAAAAGGGTTCTGAATGTCCCGCGTGGCGGCGTGCTGTCAGCCACCAAGATTCAACGGGATCGAATGTCAGGAAAGTTTTGACAAAAAACTCCAGACAAACTCACATTATTGCAAAACCAAATGGCCGTACCGTAGCTACAGCTGACCCGGCCGCAGTTCTCCGGACCGGGACCTGCTTGGGGCTGGCCCGGTACCCGACGGAGATGCGCCACTCCAGCGGCGACGATGGATGCGACGTTTGAGGGCTTGGTATCGTTGCAGGTTACATTGTCCTTGGTGACGGTGGTTTCAACAATGGTTTGTTCGCTTCGTCGTTGGAGCGAAGAGATCGCGGACCGTATGAATTTTTCGCCCCTCGGACCGGCTACATCGGTAGCGTCGTCAGGAAGTCTGTAGTCGGGGTTGATTTGCTTGAGCTGGGCGAGGGCTTCCTCGATTGTGCCATCGAGGTGGACTATCTCGCCTGGGAATGGCTCGACTTCCCATGATGGGAAAAAGGTTGTAGTACCTGTTGCTCTTGGATCTATTGAAGCCGCCTAGGAATGTTCATTGTTAGATTGACGATGTTGACGTCTCGTTCTGTGTTACTAGGGGGGGGGGGGTATCCGTTTACCTTGACGGCTGAGAAAGTGGCAAGTAATGGCAGAAGATAAGTACAACGCATTTCTTATATATTAATGAGTGATTAAACGATGGTGTAATAGTCATAGAACAGTGAATTCGTTGGCGACGATGTTGCAGCTATCGAAAAGAGAGGACGTTGTGTGCTTTTATGGTGCTTCTCAACTTTGAGGGAGCTGCTCAAGGTAGATTATGGTGGAGTGACCCATCGACTTGGAATCTTTCATGTCCTCCAACGAGGGATCTCAATCGCTTTCCCCTTGTTTCGCTGTCACCTGAAACTGTTGCTGAATTGCTTCGAATTTTGACATGTTTGCTATGCAGGGTGCGGCGCCACCGAACGGGACGACCGAGTTCACAGAACATTGGCCTCGATATCGGTCCTACAAACACCTTCCGTGCCCATTAATCGGGATTTAAGGTGATGATCCATAGATATCTGCCAGGGGTTTTCAAGCCTGGCAGGTCAAGTCTCAAAGTTACACGTCTAAAACTCCAAGTGTCCACCAATGTTTAAGTCTCTACCTTGTACTAAGCCAAACGGGCTTTTGATGATGTTCGGTTTGACAAAATCTCGAAATCTTTCTCTTCTCATCAAGCAAGTGATATTTTTCTGCGGGCGTCAGTCTGTCTACGTTAGAAGTTTGCTCCGTGTTTAGCACACCTAATACGGTCGTCAACGTAAATAGACCCGGTTGTTTGTTACCAGCAAAGACCAAAGCATGGCCGTAGCTCTCGCCGTTGATGTTTTCAGGGGTTTATAATGTGGCACAGCAAGGGAAAAGGGGCTCTAGACAGCCGCGCTACTTTTCATTGTGTTGCTTCAAAGGCTCATTCAGTACACGACAAGACCTCAACGAATACACAATGTACGACTCTTGGCCTCGTCCGTGAACCAAGACCCAGCCGGTGACTCCGTGTTTCCGGATTTCATCAACATTTCTCCTTCCATCCATCCCTGGACAAAACAGGTGCCACCAAACCTGTACACAGTCTGCCCATCTACACTGTCGACCTCTTGCAGCAAAACCGGCACAGAACACGTCGCTACCACGGCCAAAAGCCACGGTTCCTCAGAAGTCTTCCCAGAGACATACGAAGGCAAGAGGGCCATGTACCCCTTTTTCGTGATACAAAACGCCCTCCCTCGAAGCACCGACTGTACGATATCGAACCACGGACGCCCTTCATAGCTGAAAGGCCACTCGTGCGTCGGGATATGGCGCGAATTTTCAGTGATGCAGTCATAGTTATACCACTCGTTCTGCTCCTTGGTCTTGTGATAGCGAGCGCCGAGGGTTTCCAGCTTTTCCGGGTCCTGGTCGCAGCGTTCCCAGGCCGAGGTCACGTCGCCGTGGAACATGGCAATGGCTGCTTGTAACGGATCATTGTAAGGGTTGTCTTCTCGGTTTTGATAGATCTTTGGTATGGCTGCCGTCCACTCTTGAAACTTGTAGAATGCGTCGGGGTCGGGCGGCTGGAATATGTGTCCCGAAGGGATCTCACCGGGATCTTCGATGATTTCGTCAATCTCGTCTAGGATGACACCGCGGCAGTTGAGGTTGTCCCCTGCGAAACTGAAAAGCTCCTCCGAGTTGCGAAGCTGCCCGATCCCTCCATCTGCCGAGTACAGCTCGCCGTCCAGATCATCCATCCGCATCATGGGCCTCATGGGGATTCTCTCTCGACGAACCAGGCAGCTCGTGGCTGCAGGGGCGGCCCAGTCTGGACACCACGACGGTACGTGGTTGTAAAAACCATCTGTATCATGCCACGGCTCAGAGGCGGCGATGATATCAAGACTCCCGTGCTGTCTGGCCCAGGCCGTTGCGAAATCGAGGAAGACCTGCTGGCGGCTTTTGTTATAATCCATCTTGAATTGTAGACCCCTCTTATCCCTCGCCAAGTTCCACAGAGCGAAGATTTTGTCCCTGCCATCAGTAGCCTGAAAGTCTCGTGTGAGGATGGCGGCCTCGAGAAAGCCGGGACTATCCTCCCTCACGTTTGGAGGGAAGAGGGACTCATAAAGTCTGCCTCCAGCCATCAGATGCCTAAAGTAAAAGAGCTTACGAATGAAGATGAGCTCGTCGTACGATAGACCAAACTGATCTAGTTGCGGGTCTGCGCTCATCATCTGCGTTCTGAGAACGGGGTTGAAGGCTATCATGGCTTGTAGATTGTACGCGGCGGCATCGAGGGATCCGAAAGCGACGGCTTCTCGGTTGTCGACTATTACCGCGGGATCCGACGAGATGGCAACCTCTTGGACGACCCAAACTCGTCTGAAGTAGGGACGACACATGAACCTGTACAAAGCCGCGCAGCGCCTGGGGTAGATGTCCGGACCAATCTTGACGTCCCCCTTTCCAATGTCATACTCGCCCTTTTCGTTCATCTCAATCTTGAGCTGGTCCATCGGATAAACGAACTCCAGCGCCTTATCGGTTTCATCGCTGTGCTCGCCAACGTAGCAGATGACTTGGGATGCGCGGTCGTAGATATCAAACATGCGCGGCACCTGTCTGGTGCGCTCGGCAACGTTGAGCTGGTCGATGCATACGGCATCAATCCAGATGGATACCGCCAGTTTCTCGCTCCGTATGGTACGCAAGGCTTGCTCCAGGTTCCGTCGGACCTGCATCTTCTGGCCGTTGACGACGATCTCGACCGTATCACCGGGATTTCCCCAAGTGTATGACAAGGCGTGGTAGACGACCTCGCACACAACGGGGCAGTGGGCCAGATGGGTGATTACTTGTGCATCGCGGTCCTCTGAAGGTGCGACGACGAGCATGCGGATCTCGTCGACGAGCGTGTCGAGCGGGACGTAGTCGTGGTTCGTACTGGGCGCAACGCTAGATGGGCTTTTTCCTAGCTTGATCGGATAGACGGTAGGCAAGGTGAGTTTTCGCGGCGGCTGCGATTCGTCGCCAATATAATGCCAGGTCTTGTCCCATGCTCGGTACTTGTCCTGCATTCTTCTTTCGACTATACCCCTCTCGATCAACTCGGTGACGATCTCGGTCATGCTCACGACCTGCGTGGCCTTTGCGTACATTGAGTCGAGAAAATCGCGGGTCCAGTACCACTTCTTCTCCTCCCGCGAGGAGAATTCCTGAAGGCAGATGTGCCGGATCCATAGCGTCACGGGCAGACGGTGACCACGAAAGTACCTAAGAAAGACCTCAACCGAGGCCGGGACTACTAGTCCTTTGCCGTCGATCTCGATGGCATCCTGTAGCAGCCGGTATCCTCTACTGTCTCTGACGGCGATGAAAGGTCCGATATTGGCGAGCGGCCGCACTTCTATGCTGCATCTCACGTGGTTCTGTGGATCGCCCTTGTCGCCGGGACAAGGATGAAGGATGAGGAAGCGATGCTCTTGTGTATCGCGGTCGATGGGCGGGTGTTCGTAGGCTGGAACGTCAAGTTCCCAGCAATCTTCTAGATCTCTGCGCAATGAGTTCACAAGGTTCCTCATGGTAATTCAGTCGGTCAATCAATAAAGTTCCAGCAGCACCATGCCCTAAGCAGAGAGGATAGATCCGATTACTAGGACGTTTACTGCATGTTATTAGGAGTTTTGCGACCAATTTCCCTAGCAACCCCCCAAAATTTTCTCTGTTAGGCATCAGTATTCGCTTGGTTTAGTTCCCTAAACGAAGGAAGTGGCGATGCCTATTCGTAGAAACCAAACAGCTATGCATAAGCGCTACTGCATGGCATTCCGAATCCATCCAATTAGCCGCCGTGCATAGGCTGTAAGTGGTCCACATTGTCAATTGGAAGCAGTTGCAACAAAAAATTTAAAGCATAGCAAGGTAGGTGCCCCAAATAGTCCGTGAGTTGAATTGTGTGGTGCGCATCTAGAGCACCTAATCGCGACGCGTGGAGCCTCACACATTGGAACTTGGTTCGGGGGGTATTACTCCTTGATCTTTGTTGTCGTGTGAAAATTCCTCAAAACTGAATTCCGAAGGCTCAGGGTAAAGAAACGGCCGTTAGCATGGCTGCTGGGTGCTGCAAAATATTGAAGAGATGAAATCGGCCATGCTGGTTATGAGCCAACAAATCGAGATGAGGTCGGAACTCCCGAAATGGTATATCATGGTCTTGGGCAGCAGAACAACACATATCACCTTGTTGAAGATTACGCCAAGCAATAGTTGATTTGCCAACGTCTTTGAAAACTCTAAGAGTGCTGCGGAGCGTGAGTGTCATACGTCCATACTTCGTGTAGATATGTGATGAGTCGCAGGTTGGTGGTTCATCTGCAAGCAATAGAGTTGCCATTTGCCTGAACTCAATTGAAGTGACAACTCTCAGATTGTCATAGACGAACCAACCAACTGGTTTCCAAGTGATAAGATGAAGAGTATACCTGAGCATCTCACTTTGTGATGAGATACAGACGTCGTAAGGTACTCCCAGCGGCAAGTTTTGCGGCAGGCGCTTCCAACCCCAGAATATAGACATTCTAACAAGGGTTGAGGCTCGACAGCTAATTTGACGGGTTCCCACAGCTATCATCGTAGCATTTCCCAATCTGGCGAAAGTTTTCCCGTCATTGTGCTTACGGATCCCAGAATACATGAATCGCCGAAAGTATCACGATAGGACGTCGAAACGGAGCTTGAGTGTTATTTTTTATTTGTTTCTTTTTTTCATTGGGTCTATGTTTTCTTAACAATTGCTGTGGCGCACCCACTACTCATCAAAGATGGTGGCGACAACAGCACCAGTGAGAGTGACCTGACCAACCTTGCCGCCCTCAGCTTCGGTGATGATCTTGCCCGAGACAAGTTCGCGCTTCCAGATGACGACGGTGCGGTTGTTCTGGTGACCGACGGCGATGAGGTCGCCGGCCTTGTTAATGGAGAACTGGCGGGGGGACCAGCCGCCGGAGGGGGCGAGCTGCACCAGCTCGAGGGAGCCGTCGTCCTTGATGACGAAGGTGGACATTGTGTCCGAAGGGCCGGAGCCGAGGACGGGGGAGTCGCGAAACGAGACATCGCGGTTGGAGACGATGATGAACTTGTGGTCGGGCTGTGTGAATTGGGTAAAAAGAACCTTGTCAGTCAAGAAGTTCCCACAATAGAGTAATAATTATCAATCCGGATACAGACTGCGCCCGCAGGACCTAATTTGGGAGATGCATGAGGCCGTGGGGGCCGACCCAGAATTGAAATAAAGCCTAGAAAAAGATCTGCGACAGTGCAGGGGGACGCTTCTCTCGAAAAATAAAAATAAAAATTGAAATAGGAAATGGGGACCAAGAACGGAAAAAAACTCACAGTGATGGCAATCTCGCTTGTCGGGGCCTTGGTGGCAGGGTAGTCGGCGTTGACGGAGGGAATGGACGAGATCTTGGTGAAGGCGAGGCCGGTCTCCTTGTACTCGACCTTGTACGAGTAAATGAGCTGGTCAAGCTCGCCGTTGAAGAAGAAGACGACGTCGCCGTTGGCCATGGTCTTGAAGACGCCGTGGCGGGGCCCGACGCCGGGGCCGGTGACGAGGCCGTCGACCTCCTTGATCGGGGCGACGCTGTTCGGGTCCTTGGTGTAGACACGGACCCGGTCACCGCCGAGGTCGGCGAGGAGGACATATTGGTTCTTGGGGTCAATGATGACGCGGTGAAGGTAGCTGAGGTCCTGACGGGCGGTCACCGGACCGGGCTTCTCGAGGGTTGGGTAGAACTCCTGGAGCGGCGCGGTGCCCGGGAGAGCTCCCTTCTCGCCCAGGGCGATGACGGAGACTGCGCTCTTGTTGCTAGTTGAGACTTCATGTCAGCTTGAAACTTTTTGTTTAATATGTCGTTAAGGTACAGATTAAGTTTCAGGTCATAGTGCGAGCAACCGGTGGGAGTCAAAGTTCGAGTAGCCGGTGGGGGGCCTTGCGGAAGTTTTCCCAGGGACGCTTAACTATCCCACCGGAAGCGCCAAAACAAACAACACACGGACACAATTGCAGTGCTTATTTCGACGTTGACAGCTTGGAACTTACTATGAAGCAGTAACATAACCGCGCGCACCAGACTCAGTGGTGACAATCTCACCAGCGACACCGCTGGCGGGCGCCGGGATGCGAGCGATGCGGGTCAGGGCGCCTCCATCCCCAATGGAGAAGGAGTTTAGTGAGCCGTTGGGAACCGAGTTGGAGCCCCGGTCGAGGCAGTAAAGGATCCGGTTGGCCGAGTCTAGCGTGAGCCAGGCTGGGTTGACCTCACAGTCTGCCGACTTGGAGGCGACGGATAAGCTCGCGTTGGCGCCGGTGGTGAGGGAGAGGGTCGTGACATTTCCGCCCGAGTCGGCTGCGTAGAGAGTGACGGCGTTGCAGGAGGCCGCTAGAAAGGCGGAACCTGCCAAGAGGCTCTTCATGGGTGAGGTGCGCATGGTGGATGGATTAGAAGCCGATTTTGTAAGCGGAAAAGGGCAGTCTGGGAAGAAATAAATGCGCTCAAGTGAATGAAGGAATGGGAAAGGATGGACAAAATGAGTGGATTTTGGTGTAATGAGCGAATGTGGTGATGCAGAAAACAGGCAGGTCAAACGCAACTGAGAGGTGGGTAAGCGGCGATTTAACTGCAAACGAGGTTGGCGATGGAAAGGATGAGAATGAGTGGATTCGGACTCTTTTGGTCCAAGTCTTTTTTCTGAAAAGAGCGATGAGAATTTCTACTTCCTAGTCTGCCAAGCCTTCGCAATAGCTCTCCTTCATCTAGGATCGTGAACCTGAGGGGAACCGAAACCTGTTAACATACAGACGAAAAAAGGCAAAGAATGCGTTCGGATGGCTCCGAGCTTCAGAGTCGCAATTGCAAAGCCCAACTTCCAACTGGAACCTGCTAAGACTCTTCCTCCCAACGTGCCGGTATTCACGGAGATTTGAGGGGCCCTCCAGTTTTTGCCTGTTGTTCCTCAGTCTTCTGACTCGCCTTTCGAACGTTGTTTAACAAGACGCCTCATCGCCAAGACCAGACCGTGTGTTAGCTGCTATAACGGTCAGTAGCTAAACTCCGCGGGTCCTCCCCAAGTCCCCAAGGTGGTAAGGGTCAAAACTCCGCGAGTGTGTGGGGGCCAACAGTTGGCGTTAACCGTTCCCCTCGGTGTCGACTATTGCCGCTGCTACACGCTACTTCTGCTGTGCCTGGTCTGAAGAATATCTGGCGCCTTTTGCGCCCCAATGACAAAACCTTAAACAACGGGCGCCGGGGTGGTCGGTAGTGCCGAAAAGGGGGACGGGCTCCGGTGCCAGACTGACGGCGACATAAAGAAGACGCTTGGAAGCTAGGTTTGGCCTGCTTCATGGGGTGTATCGCCCGGACAAGGTTCTACGCTTTGAGTAGGTCAAGAGGCTGAGCGGTCAGCGCCAAGACCTAATACAGAACCAGATTGATTGATTGATTGATATGATCAAACAAGGCGTGATCGATACTTCTCCCTGACTCTGGAGTCTCAATGAATTGGTCGTGGAGTTGTTGACAGTGGAACTACGCCAAGTTAGGGGGGACAAGACGCCAAGATCGGGTAGCACCGTGGCCCTGGCTTGGAGAGATGTTTTGACTTTGAGACGGTTATCGAGTGTAGGGCGACGGCCGAGGACCCGAGACCGATCCCCAGTTCCTAAGGCGTCTCTACGTGAATATCCGTACGAGTGACCTGTACGGAGTAGAGGGGCCTTCAACGAGATGGTCCCATATATCCCACGCTAAGTATTAGACGAACCCGCGTACAGACTCGGATACTGATCATAGGTTTGTGTCTTTAAGCCTCACAGCTCAAGTCTTCACAATCTCCATCTTTTGATCCTTACATTCGTTTCTTTACTACCAGGCTGTATAGACCTGTACATACTACAGCCATGGATTCCACATTCTCTCTTAGACGCCTCGCCGTCGCTTCACTCCTTTGTGTTTCTCCCGCTCTTGTCAGCGCGCAGGCCGAGAACAAGGCCGCCGCTCTGCAGTCCTGCTTGACCACCGCCGGTGTCCGCAACGTCATCAGCACCGATGCTACCTGGGCCGATGAGACCACCGGCTTCCAGAAGCGCATCAAGGTCGACCCGGCTGCCATCTCCTTCCCCGAGAACAAGGACCAAGTCGCCCTGTCTCTTGACTGCGCTCGGAATGCTTCCACTTCGGCGTCTCCCCTCGGCGCCGCCCACTCCTTCCAGGCCTACGGCTTCGGAAACTCGGGCAGTCTGGTAATCAGCATGGCTGCCTTCAACTCCGTCTCTTTTGACGCCGCTACCAACCGCCTCACCTACGGCGGAGGTTCCCACATCGGTCCCGTTCTCAAGGACCTTTGGGACAACCACGGCCGCCACTTCCCCCACGTTCGCGGCGCCCACGTCGGTCTCGCCGGCTCCAGCATCGGCGGTGGCTATGGCTCTTCCTCCCGCCACCTGGGAACTCCCATGGATAACCTCGAGTCCGTTGAGTACATGCTGTACAACGGCACCATCGTCAACGCCGCCAAGGGCTCCGACCTCTTCTGGGCCGCTCAGGGTGCCGGCGCCTCCTACGGTGTCCTTCTGTCCGTGACCACCAACACTCACAAGCCCCTCTTTGACACCGCCGTCAACTTCACCATCGCCGGCGGTCAGCTCGACTCCACGGCCGCTGCCAAGGCCGTCATCGCTACCCAGGAGTTCTCCCTCTCCAAGGACTGCCCGGATGAGCTCGCCCTCCGCTGGTCCCTCAGCGGTCCCCCTTACACCGGCACTGGTTACTTCTACGGCAACCCGGCCGACTTTGACACCGTCATCGCGCCCCTCGTCACTGCCCTCCAGGCTATCGGCAGCAACGCCACTGTCGCTAAGACGGAGCTTCCCTTCTGGGACATGGAGGTCGCCGTCGCCGGCGCCGGCATGAACCAGCCCAACGGCGGCACCCTCGGCAACCGTTCCTTCTACACCCAGGCCCTGACCATCACCACCGACCACCCCCTGACCGAGGCCCAGGCCAAGACTCTCTACGAGAGCACCACCATTGCCTTCAATCGCACCGACCTCCGCAAGTCCGGTTTCCTTGATCTCTGGGGCGGCGTCTCGCGCGACATCTCTGATGCCGACACCGCCTACGCCCACGGCAAGAACCTGTGGCTCATCCGCTGGGAGGCCAACTCTGTTGATGCTACCTCCTACCCGGCTGACGGCCCTACCTACATGAAGGGACTCATCAAGCCCTTCGAGGATGCCCTCGTTGCCGGCGGCGCGCCCCTCCGTGGTTTCGTCAACTATGCCGATACCGAGCTCTCCGAGGCCGAGTGGAGCTCCCGTCTCTACGGCTCCAACTTTGACCGTCTCAAGCAGCTCAAGACTGTCTACGACCCCGAGGGTGTCTTTGTCAACCACAAGCAGGCTATCCCCCTTCCTTGAGCGGTGGTAGTAAACTTCTCATGATTCTTGGATATACTTTACTAGGGAATGGCAGGGAAAATTGACAGAATACCAGCGGTTTCGACCGGGTGAGCCAAACATTGATTTCGTTTCTCATCTTCTTCTACCGCCAGTGCCAACAACAGCTTCCAGTAACGTTACCTTGTGATTGTGTCACGAACGCGTCTCGGCCGATACCCTGTCCGAGATTTCCATCGTTATTTCTATTATTCGTAAACTTGTCAGCGATGAAGTTTCAAAAACTCTCCGTCCAAGGTGTCCATGCTCTCCAACATGAGGCGCGTCTGACGCGTAGCCCTTTGTGCGGAGAAGAGCATGATGCTTCTCCAACTTCTCCCCTCAATTCCTGCGGGGTAAAATTCCACAATCCACAAAAACTAGCAAGTGGAGTTCCTTCGGTAGACATTCTCACGAATCACTTATTCCCGGCTAAATGCAACTTGCGGAGGCGTGGGGTTCAATCATCTCAAAGGCTCAACTCGCTCTTGGCTAAGTTGGCTTTGAAGAGCCGATTTCGATAAATATTGACCTCAACCTTCGTTGCCTCGGAGGTGACTGCTGGTTTGGTTCTCGAATTCTTGCATTGATCATCAACACCAGTTGTGCTTTCAAAGCCCGATTTTCACAATGCCTCAAGTTAGAAACCCAATCCTTCCTGGGTTCAACCCGGATCCCTCGATATTGAGAGTCGGAGATGACTACTACATCGCGACGTCAACCTTTGAATGGTTTCCCGGCGTCCAAATTCACCACTCCAAGGACCTGGCAAACTGGGAGCTTGTCACAAGGCCCTTGAGTCGCAAAAGCCAACTCGACATGCGCGGAGACCCAGACAGCTGTGGTGTCTGGGCCCCCTGCCTCTCCCACGACGGCGACAAGTTCTGGCTCGTCTTCACCGACGTCAAGCGTAAGGATGGATCCTTCAAGGACACTCACAACTACATCGTCAGCGCGCCAGCCATCGAAGGGCCCTGGTCTGACCCGTTCTACATCAACTCGTCCGGCTTCGACCCGTCCCTCTTTCACGATGACGACGGCCGTAAGTGGTTCGTCAACATGATGTGGGACCACCGCCGCCGCTTCCATGCCTTCACCGGCATCGTACTCCAGGAATTCGACCCGAAAGCCGGAAAGCTCGTCGGCCCAAAGAAGAACATCTTCCGTGGCACAGAGCTGGCTCTCGTGGAGGGCCCGCACCTGTATAAGCGCAACGGCTGGTATTACCTTCTGACCGCCGAGGGCGGCACCGCGTACGAGCACGCTTGCACCCTCGCTCGTTCCCGCGATCTCTGGGGTCCGTACGAGCTTCACCCGCAAAAGTACGTCATCACGTCCAAAGATGCACCCGATGCGGCGCTCCAGCGCGCTGGCCACGGCGATATCGTGGACACGCCCGACGGCAAGACGTACATGGTTCACCTGACGGGGCGTCCCACGACGGAGAAGAAGCGTTGCGTTCTCGGGCGCGAGACCGCGATCCAGGAGGCGTACTGGGGCGACGATGACTGGCTCTACGTCAAGAACGGTCCAGTACCGTCTCTGTACGTCGAAGTACCCGGGACCAGAGACGATACTTCGTACTGGGCGGAGAAGAAATACACCTTTGAGAACGGCCTGCCCAAAGACTTCCAATGGCTGCGGACGCCAGAGCCCGAGCGTATTTTCTCAACCGACGGCGGGAAGCTCACGCTTATCGGGAGGGAGTCGATCGGATCCTGGTTCGAGCAGGCGCTCGTCGCTCGCAGGCAGACGCACTTCTCCTACGACGCCGAGACCACCGTCGACTTTGCGCCCACCGACGAACGTGAGTTTGCGGGGTTGACGGCGTACTACTGCCGCTACAACTTCTTCTACCTGACCGTCACCGCGCACGAGGACGGGAAGCGCGAGTTGTTGATTCAAAGCTCCGAGGCCTCGTGGCCCGACAGCGACCTCACAATGCCCTTTCCCGAGGCGGTTTCGCTGCCTGATACGGGCAAAGTGAAGCTTGCGTTGACGATCCGCGGACCGAAGCTCCAGTTCTACTATGCACTTGAGGGCGAGGAACTCAAGGCTGTCGGTCCGGTGTACGATGCTTCCATTATCTCGGATGAATGTGGTGGGCACCAGGCGCATGGAAGCTTTACGGGTGCGTTTGTTGGTGTTGCTGCGTCTGATTTGAATGGTACTGCGAGACGTGCGGCCTTTGATTATTTTACGTATCGTCCTGTTCATGATGAGACCGACCGTTATGATATTTAATGACGAGTTTCCACCGCCTACATCTGAGAGCGGGGGCTGGACTGATACTGTACGTTGAGATTTGACAGGGGAAGAATCAAGATTTAGTCTCACAGAATAGCCGTTTTAAGTCAACGAGTCAACGAGCTCCTGTAGTAAAGAATTGATCATGTTGCGTAGATACCTAAATATGTTGTTCATGACAAGCCTTAGATGAACAAAACTTCGTCGCCCAAGACAATCTGATCGATCAGCAGCGGAGGTATTGATGTCAAACCAGTCTTAGGATTGAGATTCTGAGTATCGGGCTGGGGATCTGACCCTTCAATAGCGCCTCAGAACTTCCCCCTTTCCCTGGTTCAAGGTAAGTAGTTAGGCTTCCTTCCGTGGCCCAACTCAAAGAAACCTCTGCATCAAAGGGAACAAGCAATTGACGACGCCGTAAGATCCTACTGCGAGCGGGGCGAGGTCAAGAGCGCCGAGGTGGGCAGGGTAGCCTGGACATCCAGCCCCATCTTTACCACCAACCGCTTATGAAGAGCAACCAACACCTACCTCTTTTCTGGACGTGGCAGGAACCTCCAACAGCATCCGTCCCACGCCACAGTTCCCCCTGAGCTTCACCAAAGAATATCTCGCAACCCTAAGAGTTGCCAGCTGCGTCCCACAGCATGGAAGAAGACTGTTTCGCCGCGCGCAACATCGAAGAGCTTCCTCGGCACCGCGCCACCTGGAAATGTGACGAATTCAGAAGGACTTGCGCAGATATGAGAGACCTCAATTATCACACTTGGGGCTTTGTCATTTATCGTTGTACCTACGATGATGAAGATCTCTGGGCCCGGTACCTCTCGCAGCTCAGGGACTTTGCTCATGAGTATCTTGTCGAGACTCGCCGAGCTGAGCTGTTAGAACACTACCTTGATTTTCAGTTTATTGAAAATCGCGCCACCCTTGAGAATGCCTCGAGAAAGGATGTTAGGCGACATTTCAATGAATGGCTTTCGAATCAGGACATGCCCGCCGGCGATAGGACCCGCGGGGGATCAGACAATGTCTTGATGACGGGAATGCTAGTTCAAAGGGAGTCGAGGTACAAGTTCTGAGACGATCTTAACGGCTCTGACCACCGACGAGACAGCTTAATTATCCGCATCAGTTATGAGCCTTAAACTACGACCTCCCTCATCTCCGAACTAGTGGCAAGGGTTTCAGACTCCCGGTGCATCAGCAGGCTTAACTACAAGCTTTTTATATCATAATCTCATCGCTCATCTGCTATTCAACAAACTGCTATCATTACACCAGCTCATGCCTTGTCTTGTTCTCTTAGCCCTCTAGAAAACCATGCACAGACGACCCTTAAGCTGCTTAGACAAGTAGTGTTCCGCCATCTCATTGGCCTGGTCGACACCATACGTCTTCTCAATGTGCGTCTTGCAACCATTCTTCGCATGCAATTCAACCATTTCTCTGCTCCGTTCAGGAGTGCAAATCAACGCACCACGAACAGTCTGCTCCTTGAAATTCAGCGCGAAGGGATCGACCTCGAAAGGTCCATCGGCAGGAAGACCGACATCGACCAGGACACCACCCTTGCGCAAGAATTGCTGTCCGAACCTGACGAGCGGCCGTGCCTCGGTTGTGATGACGACGCGGTCGACGCCGGGGTTGGTATCATAAAATGAAGTCTGGAGCTCTTCGACGACCTTCTTCTGAGACTCGTCCGTGTCGATTAGGTACGTGCGATCGGGATTCAGGTGTGAGGGCACGTCGTTGGCTAGGTCGAGACCTTCTTGTCTGTTGTCGATGACGATGACCTTGTATCCCAATGCCTTGGCATACTGTACACCGAGGTGTCCCAGGCCGCCGATACCGACAATGGCAAGCCACTGGTCTCTTTGACCCTGCGCGGCACAAAGGGCACCGTAGACCGTCGCACCGGCGCAGAATAAAGGCGCGGCCTCGGCCCAGGGGATTGACTCGGGGATCTTGGCCACGACACGGGCGTCGGCCTTCATGTACTGCGCGAATCCGCCGTCGAGGGTCAGTCCTAGCATGCCGACGAGGTTATCGCAGACCTGCTTCCCCTGGTTGCACGAGTTGCACTTGCCGCAGCAGCCGTAGGTGTTTATGGAGCCGACGCGGTCGCCGACTTGCAGGCCCTGCTTGCCTGCTTCGGAGCCGAGCTTGACGATGGTGCCAGCGGGCTCGTGGGAGCCGACGAGGCCTGGCTTCGCGCCGGCGGAGGCGTAGACGCCCTGCTGGACTTGGAGATCTGTGTGGCAGTAGCCTGCGGCAGCAATCTTGACGAGGACGTCGTTTGGACCGAGTTCGGCGGGGACTTTTACGTCTTTTACTTCGTAGCCTTTGTTGAAGTCTTTGATGGTTGCTGCGCGCATCTGTTGGGGAAGTTGGTCTGCCATCTTTAGAGGGCGTTGAACAGTAGTGTAGTAAGGTAGTTGTAATGCTGATGTAACTTCGGGATGGTACTTAGTATTGATTCGATGCGGTTCCGTCTTCAGGAAAGTATGATCTGATGGGTATCTTGCTATTGTTCATAAGAACCTCTTTGGCCTCGATGCCTGCTCCTGACTTATATGTTCGAGAGACGGTTAATCTGCGTCTGACTTAGTCTATGCAACGTCATGACCAACGCTGCTCAGATGTGAAGGGGAACGCAATAGTAGCGTCACAGGATCCAATCATACGTGTAGTTACGTCAAATGGAATAGTTAAATGGACTTTGTCGCCTCATAGTGTCATAAAAGTGGCCCAATGAGAAACATTGTGGACTTGAGGTGGTTCGGGAGCATCTCAACGTTCTAGACCCTAACTCAGCATATGAGCTTTCGGAAATAAGCGCAAAGTAGTATCGCTGATGCGGGTTTCCTTTGAGACTTTCAGACCGACATTTGAATGGTGGTGAAAAACATGTAATTTCAAGATGATTTATTATTTCTGGCAGAGCTGGCTGTAGCTCGCAAGTAGGTATGGGAGTGAAGCGGTGACGGTTGATGAGCCTGAAAAGGTTGTCAAGCAGGCACGAAAGGCTAAAGTCCCCACCACGTGCTCTCCCACGAGACAGCGATACTAAAGCCTTAAAATCAGTGATGTAACCTGAAGCTCATTGAAACCAATTCCTCCAAGCAAGTGCATGCCCCATTCATAAGGCGAGCTAGATTTGTGGACTCAACCCCACTGAGTTACGGGTTGAGTCCACTGAGTTCCACCATGCCGGGCGGGATCCGGACATGCATCCACCCTCGAGATCGCGCCTGGCCGAGTGGCTCTACATCACGACGATAAAATTTCCGAGGATTCTATTTATTCATAGAGTTATCAAGTGCCATACAGCTTTTACCATCACCCATTATGACCAGGTGCACCTCGTCTCGATGTTGGGCTGACCCGATGCGCTTAAGCTTGGGTGGTAAACCTTCTTAGTGTTCGCGTTGACGGGATTCGGAACCTGGCACTGGCCGATATCATCGTAATAAGTCCCCTTCAATTCCGTCTCGCAGATTCTCTGCCTCCAGTTGCGCAGGCTGTCGTTGTATGCGGCTGGTGGTGCGGGTGAACAGCTGGCGTGGAAGGCGGTGAGGTATTCGGCCAAGACTGTGCTAGACAGGGCAAGCAGAAGGGTTGCCGAGTTAAAATGCACTTTTAAATATTAGTAAGCCGGACTTATGAGAAGGAGGAGCAGTTTTGACTGACTGGTGAAGTCAATTATCAAGTACAATGAGGTGGCGATTGGTACGAGGGAGGAGCGATTGTGCGGATGTCTTTATACTTCAATGGCCTTGAGAGCGATGTAATTCCAAGGTCAAAAGTGGATAAGGAAACTGGACAACGTGATCTTAAGTATCCAGATGTAATAAAAATAACGTTACGCGGCATTGAATAATATGACTGTTTTCGTGTTCAATTATGTAGAGAAAACTCTAAGAAACAGCTACAGTCAAAAGTTGAGTTTCGGATTCGCTTTTCCCCCTTTTGAAGTGCTAAGGTTTGTACTAAGTGCGCTATACCAAAGTAAGCCTCGCCCGCTCATTCCGACCACGCACATCACAACGAAATCGCCGAGGTAAATTTATTATGTTGTCATTGAAGTCTTGAAATGCAAGAGGTGCATCGTTTACACCAGTAGGATAGTAAGATGAAACCAGGAACGCTTCGTGGGCTGCTTTACGGCACACGGGCATTGTCAGTAGGAAAACAGGGGATGAAGGGGTCTCTAGAGTCCTGTTTAATCAGCCAAAGCAGAAACGGCGCGGCCTGATGTCTAGAGAATTAGTTTCGCATCTTGTACTCATTTAATCCATGGAATTTTACACAGAATTAACCAGACTACTTTGTCTTTATCATCTTAGCACGAGTTAGTCGCGTCTTTTTTCCTCTTTGAAGGACCACTTGACGGGGCCCCGACGGGAGCTTTAGAACTCCGTCCTCTTCCGTCGGCTTGACGATGAACCTTATTTAAGGGCTGTCCAAGCAATACCTAGAACGACAAATGGCAAACTCCCAAGCAAGCAGTGATTGGCTCACCGTGCCTTATCAATGGCTTTTGGTATTAGTAATCCAGCCCGTTCACTAATAGTTGCCGTCATCAACCTCCACGAAACATCTCCAGCTTGGCACGGGCTGTTAGTGCCATGCTGAGGAGGGGCCCCAGTCCCCGCGGTTTGCCGCTGCGCGCTGGGGTGGATTAGCTATACGCTAATCAAACCCTTAACAACGCACATTTTCCCCTCGAATCGAGCCGCCGTCGACTCGAATTCGCCTTCCGCAGGCTAGACGAAGTCTTCCTGGTAGGGCAGGGAGCAGAGGTTCCATCTAGCCTCCCGAAGGAGACGGGCGACTTTCTTTCCCGGCGCAAGTGGCGCTTCCGGGCCCAAAATTGAACATCACCGACCGACTTTTCGACTTCGCTCTCTCAGCACCTTTGCCCCTTAACGATCGAAGACTCCCTCGAAGAGACGAAACGACCATTGGGTAGCGACGTATAGCCACGGCTATATACAGCTATGCTCGTTATAGAACCTAATAGCAAGCCCTACAACCTAGTCTTACGAGGTTTTGCCCCTTGTGGTTTCCCTTGTGGCGGTATTACCTATTACGATATACTCCGGACGGTTACTGGAACGTTGTATAAACCAGAAGCCTGCGGGCTCTGGGTCGAAGGATAGGAGATACTGGCGGAATTGCGTTCTAGGGACGACCATAGCACTGTCTCGGGCAAGCCAGCGGCACCCAGAGACAGGTTAAACACATAGTTGCCTTTGGGCACGATTTGGAGGACGAGCTGGACTGTATCTAGTGATAGCTATAGGCCTACGGCCCTCCACGCCATATACCCTTCGGGAGGTCGGCCGCAAGGGCGGCTGCGCCCTTGCCGCTACGGCGTTAAAATACAACAACAACAACAATAATAGTTGCCGTCCTACATCAACAACTTTTGCGTATCATTCAACTCGTCCAAGAGGCATTGTACTACTTGTTTTGTGGCCCTATTCACCAAAACCTGGAGTATCTGATTCTCTATGAACCCTTCCACATCTCTTCCAAAGACTAGACGCGTTCCACAAGCGAGCAAATTTTGCCACAAACGCGGCATCAAGTGCCGGGTCGGACCGACAGCAACCAGACAAGTGACAAGTAGATCAAGAGTCTTACCTAACTTGTATGGAAAAGATTTCTTTGCGACTAGCTTGCTGAGCAGTTTTACTTGGCCATACGGAACGTCAAACGAGACGTATATGTGGCTAAGCGCACAAGTATTTGTTGATATCACCTTGAATGGAGTCAAAGTCAGATCATGGATACAAATACGGAGAACTATTATGACGATTCAGCCTTCGAACTCGAAGTACCACCATTCTTTTGCCTGTTCGTGCGCCAGGCATAGTATTCTCCCCCAGTCATGACCGGATATTTCATGGGATTACTCTCACTCACGCATGTTGGCACAGGCTCCAACACCTTCGCTCTATCAAACCCAAAAAAGAACGGCGCAGAATACCTCTCATTACCACTTTTGTTGATGACCCGATGGATTGTTGACACAAAAAAGTCGTTCGTCTGTCGCATGAAGCAGTCGGCAATGTTGACGACGAAAGACCCGGGCATAGGATCCGCCTTGACCCAGATTCCCGATTTACTGAGAACCTCGAGACCGCCGGATGTATCTTGAGTGACAATGGTGAAGCACTCGACGTCAGTGTGCGCGCCGATGCCATTCTGCTCGTCTACTGAGTGCTTTTGCTCTGGGTAGTGGAGAATGCGCATCCCCGCCTCTGGATGCTTGACGTATTCATCAAAGTAATCTTCGGGTAGGTGGAGAGCCAGTGCAAAGATCCGAGTTAGCCGGCGTGAGAGCCGGAGAAGCTCTGTATAGTAGGCGTAGAGGTTATCCCGGAAACCAGGTAGGTCGGTAGGCCAGATGCTGACAGACCTTTCCGATTTGTCAACTGATTCGGGGTCTTTCTGGGCGTCATAAGCCCAGTTGAAAGCCTCGCTCAAATCTGGCAAAGGGTCAGCGGAAGAAGCCACCCAGAACTCATGACCGAAAGGCGGCTTTACCTTGGTGCTTCCACCCATTGCGGTTATAGCATCCCATCGGATGGAAGCCAACGTACTCGTTGGGGACAAGGCCGGTAAAGACCTCCATCTTCTTCTCCTCCGGCAAGGCAAAGAAGCGTCTCGCTTCGGTCATTGTCAAGTCTGCGAACTTTGAGTCAATCCCCTTGTCTCTTGTTAGCATAATGAGAGACTCCAACATTTGAAGGATCACAGAGCTCACATGATTGACCAAGTAGAAGAAGCCAATGTCCCTAGAGGCCTCTCGTATTTTTTCGGCCACAGCTGTTCGATCCTCGAGCTCATCACTCCATATCCCTGACGCATCGATGACTGGAATCTTTTCTAGGCTTGTCGAGGTGTTGGAGTTGAAGCTAAAAACTTGCCCGTTGTGAAGAGTTACGGTTCTCGCCTTGGAGTCTGACAATGTGGCAGTCTCTGACATGATAAAGCTGTGATGATGTGATCTGGAGGGCTAAGACAAGGGAAAACGTAATCTTAGATAATTGTCTTTCGATGCCACTGATTTTATTCGGTGTTTGAAAGTCTTCTATGGACGTGAAATCTGGTTCAATCATCTACTAAATGACTGTCGTCTGCATGCTTCATACTCTGAAGATGATCTAGGCAACTCGAATGTGAGCCCCGCCAATGCTCGGCTAGCACTTCCCGTCGGCGACATCTTATCGCGGGGAACAAGACGGACAAACTGCAAATCCGCTCAGCTTGATTGAGGCAACCGCCCGTCATTGGCCAACATTGGTTCTTGTCAGATCTCACAAGATACCGCAACTTTGAACTACCGAGGAGAATTGCCCCGCTGTTGCCTATCTGCATGAGGCCAGCAAAACCGTAGAATTGCCGATTCCTTATCAAGACGCCTCCAATAATGACTGTCTTACGGGCGAGAAGACGAGGTATCTTGATCCTTTGCGTGGCATCTCCTATCTAGAGACTAGATCTTTGTATTCGATGCCTATCTGAGTACCTTTAGGTAAGATAGGTAATCCTACAAATGAACATTGAAAGTTCCACAATCATAAGACAATGGGGTTCCTGACTTGTCGTTTGTGGACTTTTCACGGTTATTGAAACCTTTCCCAAAGGAAAGATCACAGTCTGGCCTGGATTCCCTCATTATCCGGCTCGATTTATAGCAATGGTGTCCACTTCTTCATGGAGCCGCCGTCTACTACGGCGCGTAGAGGTAAATCGAGACACAGACACTGACGTGGACATTTACGTCAACAAAGATACTCGTCCGTTGCCTCCTTCCCGCAGAACATATGGGCCTTGGGAGTTTGTGGGGCTATGGATGGTCACCGGATCTTTCAATGTCGGAGGTTGGACGACAGGTTCTTCCTTGATCTCCCTGGGACTCAACGTCTGGGTAAGCGATTTACCCCATTCCGTAAGATGACGAGAGTCAAAGACCCGTAAGCTAATGCAATCAAAGCAATCGATGATTGCAATCGTCATCGCACACACCTTTGTCGGGTTTGTATGCATCGCTGGAGGTCATCCGGGCGCAAAGTGGCATATCGGGTTTCCGCTTTGGATGAAGCAGAATTGGGGCATTTGGGGTTATCTGTTTCCCATGGTAAGTCTAGAATCTAGGTCTCCCATCTCACCTTACCTTGCTCAAACAAGATTTGAGGCTCTGCGAACTAATCTCGCGACCAGGCTATCCGAGTCTTCTTATCTTTTGTATGGACAGCCACCAACACGTGGTATGGAAGCCAATGCTTGAGGGTCCTCTTGACCTGCATCTGGCCATCGTACCTCAATTTGGATTCTGGGCTTGCGGGCGGGACGATGAAAGTCTATGACCTCATCTCATTCGTCCTGTACTTCCTGCTCTGTCTACCACTGATCTGGTTCAGCCCAGAGAACTATCGCAAGCCGTTCCTCTTCGCCTCGACGACGGTGGCGACGACCGTTCTTGTGCTGTTGATCTGGTGCACCACTCGCGCCGGAGGTGGAGGTGCCCTTCTTGCAGATGTAAGCTACGTCTCTGGTATCGAGCCCGCACAAGGGGGAGACTTGGGCTGGGCTTTCGTAGCCGCGGTCACGGCAAACATTGGAGGTATTGCCACGCATATGTGGTCTCAGTCCGACTATACCCGCTATGCGCGGAAGCCAGGGGACCAGGTCCTCGCTCAGCTCATCATGGTGCCCCTCGGAACCATCATCGTGGCCTGTATCGGGATAATCTGCACGTCTTGCGCGGCTACGATCTACCCCGACGAAGGGAAACTGCTGTGGCAGCCCTATGCCTTCCTCGATGCTGTTCGCAAGAACGAGGCCAATCCCGGCGCTCGCGCTGGGGTCGCATTCGCCAGTATCGCTTTCATACTGTCGCAATTTGGCATGGTGGTTGCCTCCAATTGCGTAGTCGCGGGTATCGATCTAGCCGCGCTGCTACCGCGATGGTTCACGATCCGCCGCGGGGGCTACTTCACCATCCTCTTCGTCTTCGTCATGCAGCCCTGGTCACTGCTTAACAGCGCCAGCAACTTTTTAACCGTGGTCGGCAGCTTCAACGTCTTCCTCGGTCCGCTCATGGGAATCATGTTTGCCGACTACTTCCTCATCCGCAAGCGGACCATCAAGCTCACCGACCTGTATGGTGACTCACCCGCCAGCATCTACTGGTACACCAGAGGTTGGAACTTGCGGGCGGCCGTTTCTTGGGTACTCGGGGCTTGGATGTTCATTCCCGGGTTAGCGCAGAGAGCTATGGCACCTAGCGAGGTTTGGGCCGGGTGGACGAGACTTTACCAGTTGTCCTGGTTTGTGGGTTGTCTCGTATCGGGGTCGATATATCTCGCATTCAACCGTATCTGGCCCATACCTGAGAAGCAGGCAGTGGATGACCTTGATTACTTTGGCACCTTTGGAGATGCGCCCGTGGCTGAGCTGGACGCAAGCTCGATATCAGAGGCTGTGGGAGAAAAGTCGCGCGCGGGGCAAAAGGTCCAGATCGTCTGACGCCAATGGAAGTTCGTATTAATTGCCTGTTCCGTCGACTTTCCAAGTAGACTAGAACCCAAAAATCTCTTCATACTTCAAGCCACCGTCCCAAGTTGGAAAGAAGACAAGGAAATGTCTCAAACCATTTGTTCTTCGCCCTTTTTTCCTCATATCATTCATGATGTCTTTTTCGTGATATGATCCATGGCATCCACCCACATTCCATCTGATCGTCGTGCATGGCCGCAGCGTACCTGGAATTTCTGCGTTTGCCCGTGCTAAGCCGTTTGCAACATATCTGCTTGCTGCATTAGAGGCTCGACAAAACCTAGACCAGTTACGACATCAGCCCATTGGATCAACGCGGAGAGGCATACATGGGACGGCTGGAACGGGTAGGGCGAGCGACTCTGGGCGAATCGTCGCATTTCCCGCAATGCCACATTGCATTTTAGGCTTGGAGGAGCACGCGCCAATGCCTCTTTCTTCCCATCTGCCAGGCAGCTCAAGCTTTGGGTGAGCTTATTCCACGTTTCATAGGGAGCACCCATCTAGTTCCCATTGGGGACGCCCTTTGTCCAGATGTGGATAACTGATCTTCAGAAAGGCGGGATGAATTCCACGTCCATCAGACTTTCCGACGTCAACACCCGGCCCGTGGTCTCTGAGCGTGGTGCCGATCCAAAAGCTTGAGCCAGGTGCCGGTTCAAAGTCTATTCTTTCTATGCAAACCTATGTCTCTATGTCCTTTTTAGCTCAAGCGGATCCCCCCCGCATCCAGGAGAGACGATGGTTCCGATCCTTGCGTGACCGACCTTCTTTCATTAGGGTGCCGTTCCTACGGATCGCATGCCATCGAAGACGGCCGGTTTGGGCTCCCCAGATCTTTTACCTTGTTCTTTCTCTGATTGTTCCTCTTGCCTCTGCCGCAATCTCTCTGATGCAGCAGTGACAATCATCAGGTACGATAAACCTCATGTCGCGGCATGGTAGACGTCGACATTGACCCGCACCGACCTCGTCGCGTCCTCGCGGTCGCCGTCTTTTGCCTCTGCCTCACCTGGGTCGCAGTGCCACTGCGCATCTACTCGAGACTCTTTCTGACACGGGTTTTTACTCTCGATGACAAGCTCATATGCCTGGTCCAGATCACCTTCACCGCATACCTTCTTACGGATATCGCGGCAGTCTTGCACGGGTCTGGACACGATGCTGTAGAGATTTCGCCAGAGGATAGAAGGATAGCTCTTCAGGTATGTGAAAGACAACAAGATTGGAGGCTATCCACCTCATGACCACCAGAGGGCTGATACTCTAGCTGCAGCTCTTCTTCGTTGGCGAACTTCTGTACCTGATCACTACAATACTCTTGAAAGTCTGCGTTGGCCTACTGTTGCTCAGCATTGCTATTGTTCCCCTCCATATCTGGACGCTTCGAATACTCCTCTGTTCGACATTCCTATTCGGCTCACTGTACTTCATTCTGGTTATCTTCCAGTACAGACCGCTTCACGTATTCTGGGACGTGGGCCCTCGGACACCAGGCAGCTGCTTCTCAACCAGTGTCGTACTTGGATGCACCTACACCCTCGCCATTTTGAACTGTATTGCAGACTGGACTTTTGGCATTCTGCCGTTGTTGATCGTCTGGTCCCTGCAGATGCGCCTGAAGACGAAGCTACTAGTCATTCTGCTGCTAGGTTTCGCGTCCATGTAAATTGCTCTCTCTCTCTCTCTCTCGATGCCTCGCACACACCAAAGCTTTTCAACTTACTAATCATGACCATCTGTTGTAGAGCGAGCATTGCTACCATAGTGCGCGCAGTAGCTGTTCCAGGACTGCTCAGTCAGGAAAACTTTTTTCGTACGTCTCAAACAGCTACCCCAGAGAAAGATGGACTTGGACATGTACTGACCTGTCCAAGGCGATACAGCATATCTAACCATCTGGAGCAATATAGAGCCCGGTATTGGCATAGCGGCAGCTTGTGCGCCGGCTTTGTCGCCGCTGGTTCGACACATTTTGGGGAAGAGGCAGCGGCGGGGATACGAAAGCGGTATCTGGCGAACACGAGAGCTCCCAACAATCACAGACAACAGCACCATGGCGCTACCAGAAAGAACAGAAAGGAGGCAGCACGAGTTTCGAAACTCGTCCAAAAACGACATACTACGCTTGCGATTTGACGACTTTTCATACGAATCCCGGATCACCTCCGGCCCACAGGCACATCAGATGCGGCCAGTGCCGCCGCCGCCACGGAGTCGAGCGTCGTGGGCTTTTCCGATACGGCGCGGGTCAGCGGTCGGCGGCGGTGGCTTCGATTGTATCACTGCTGATACCACGCTCACCACATCGACGATATCATCAGACGGAGCAGCGGCCGAACCGCCGTCCTCGGGGATCATGAAGACGATGGAGTTTCAGCTGTCGTATGAGGCAAGGACGTGGACAACGTCGCGGCAGGGGAGGATGATTCCGCGGGACGAGAGCATGACGCTGCGGCCTTCGACGATTGCGGAGATGAGAAGGGTAACGAGCGGCGAGGTGCCGCTTCTTCACGAGGGGTTGTCACCGACTTCGCCCGAGTATGACATTGAAGCTGGATTTACGGGGTGGTCGCGTAATAGGCACTCCTCACCACCTGCGTCACCGTGGGAGTGGATGGGGACTGGTCAGGCGAGGCCTCTTTCCATGAATGGGGGCAAGTTCGCTGCTGAGGCGACTCACATGACTACAGCGGAAAAGCGCCTATCGACAAAAGCATAGTGAGAGGAAAGTCGTGGCTTGGCTGTCTGATTGCACAGTTCAACGTACATAATATTGTAATATGAATGTTCTCACCCATCTACTCTGATGAAGTTTTAACCTTTTGCTCTATCTATGATGCGCCCGCAACACTCAATTGATAAGTGATAATATGCTACGTACTGGTAGGTTGTCCATCTGACAAGATGCTGGCCAGAAGTGTTTCTCTAAAGCGCACCTAGATTTTCGAGATGCCGTAGCTTATTTCATGTAGCAACGCACCTCGAAAGTAATATCTGTAGAGTCTCAATAATGTTGGCAACCTAATAGGGGCAGGCTCTGTGGGACTGGGATTCTGAAGGCCGGGTCAAGCCTGGCCCAAAGTTTTACAACAGAATTACGAAGGGCTATATGGAGTCTCTTGCTCCTGAGCACGTAGACTTTTAGTGAGCAAAAACACGTGATACACTTCATCTTCAAAGGCTTTCTCCGAAACATTGACCAGGTATTTTACCATGAAAGTCTATAGATCAGGTCAACCGGATGGCTGAATGTTACATATGGCTATAAATTGATCACCTGCACCATTCTGAAGTACTTAAAATCAAATAGAGAAAAAGGAATCATCCTACTTTCACATTCGCTTTCCTTGCCTACTGTGCTTGCACACTTACTCGTTGTCAATCTCACAATTCTTCTTCAATCTCCAAAGAAATCGCCAACAAAAACGCAGAGGGAACAACTACCAAGAACAATAACCATAACACCACAATGCCGAAAACAAGCAATCAACCGGAGAACAGCCAGTCTGACAAACCCCTATTCTTCTACATGCCCGATGCCGAATGGGGAGAATTCTGCCAATGGTACAAGTCCGACTTCACAGTCTCCAAGGCAGAGATTTCCGCCCTGGTTGGCCACATCGTAGACGAGGCAGACCCTGATGGCACGGTTATCTTCAATTGTGCTGAGCAGTTCATAATGTACTGCAAGGCCGCAAGGTTCCACGATGCCTCGACACAGGCGGGCGTGCTAGCGACGAGTAGCCCAAAGGAACAAAAGACACTGGGGAGGAACGTCACTGGTTTCACGAACGAGAGTTGGGACCAAATCAAGAGTCCCGTCGCCGAGACAGGCAACAAAGCAAAATTGGGACAGAACACACGCCTGGGCAGGAAGCTGATATCCACGGGCGATCGTTTGCTATGCGAGGCTGCCTCAAAGGATCGCGTCTGGGGAATTGGATATACCGCTAAGCATGCCTTGTCTCACCGTCAGCACTGGGGCGAGAATCGATTGGGCAAGGCTCTCATGGCGACGAGAGAACATCTGAGGAGCGAGGAGGCTCGCAACAAGAAGCCTTGGGAGCATTATGAGTGAGAACGACATAGCCTCACAGCAGAAGCCGGCAGCACGGCGCATAAGCAACGACTTCAACATTTGCTTTCTGGAGTCTCGGCAGAAGGGCAAACCCTCAATCGTTTCATCGCCGGCGAAGCTAGTCATCTTTATCGTCGTTCACATAGCATCAAACAAGGATTATCATTTGCGGTTAGAGAATAAGAAGAGGCATTAACGGGAGGACGCTTCAAACTGGCATGCAGATTGTCAGTGTGAGCTTCAATCAGGCGTACGAGGGGGCAAGGTTGCAGGGAGACTGTGAGAGTCTGGAAGTCCGACAATTGGGGATTCAATAAAATCAAGGAGTTGAGGAGTTCAAGCGTTTGTAATGGATATTCATTTATATCTATAAAGATGACAAAGGAGATGGTAGTAGTCTATTACAGGCAGGTATCAACAATGGTACAGATGGGATGCCATCAATCCAGACACCAACCCCGATGCACCCGTCCCTCGACTCCGTTACGATGCAAACCCGTGAATATTGACACAAGAAAAAAATGGTTCCGAAACAATGATAATCACAACTTCCCATGGTATCTCTCTATGGCCCTTTCCCGAACTAGCGAAACAGCTTAGAAGCAGAAAACGGCATCAGACATCTTGGAAGTGGCACCAGGCTTCTCGAAGCCCAGGTTCGTCAACGACTTCTTGGCAGCGTTTACCATGCCAGGCGGGCCGCAGAGCATGACGCGCGAATCCGGGCCGGGAGCGGGGAACCGCTCGGCCATCATCTCCTGGGTGACGTATCCGGTGCCGTAGGCCCAGTTCTCGGGCGGCGAGTCGAGAAGGTAGTGCAGCGTGAAGTTCTTGGGGTACTTTCTCGCAAAGGCCTCGAGCTCGTCCCTCAGCAGGATATCGGCCTCGGAGCGGTTGGCGTAGATGAGGCTGACCTCGGTGGTGTCGCGGTCGTCCTCGCAGATGGCGCGGATGAGCTGGTACATGGGGGTGATGCCCGTGCCGCCGGCGAGCATGCCAATCTTCTTGGTCAGGTTGGGGCGGTAGCGCATGGCGCCTTTGGGCCCGCGGAACTGCACCTCGTCGCCGACCTCGAGGTTGGCGAGGTACTTTCCGGTGAGGGCGCCGTCGGGGTAGCAGCGGATGACGAGCTCGAGCTTACCGAGGTCGGCGTTGTTGGAGGTGGGCGTGTAGGAGCGGGAGACGGACTTTCCGTCAATCTCGGCCTTGATGGCGACGTGCTGGCCGATGGGCAGGCCGAGGACCGTGATCGGGGTGGGGAGCTCAAAGACGAAGCGGTAGACGTTGGGGGCGAGGAGGGTCTTCTCGACGAGCGGGAGAGGGTGGTAGGAGACGGGGTCGAGCCAGCCGCGCTGGTTGAGGGGGTTCGCCTTTGCGACCTTGGGGATCTTCTTGTGCGGGCGGTAGTGCATGGGCGTGAGCTCGTAGTGGAGGAGCTTGGAAGCTTCCTTTGCGGCGATGGAGCCCGCGACGGCGAAGAAGGCGGAGGCGACGGCGAAGCCCTCCATGAAGCCGAAGCCGGTGCGCTTGGAGCGGGCGGCGCCGCTGCCGAAGGAGAGCCATGCGGGGGGGAACTGGATGTTGAGTCTCTGGATGGCGGCGATGGCGTCCTGGCCGGCGGGTGTGGAGGATGCGTGGCGGGCGGCGACGGCGCCGAGGCCGATGAAGAGGGCGGCGGCGGCGGCTTGGGATGCGACGCGGGCGGCTGAGCCCGAGCCGGAGGTTTTCTTTTCGGGGGTGGCCTTGGGCTGGAGGCGGACGGCTTTGGGGGCGGAGCGCTTGTTCACGCCCTTGAGCTTGCCGACCTTGAAGTCGGCCATGATTTCGTAGGCATCTTCGGAGTGGCCTGCGTTATCGAAGGCTTCTGAGGCGTCGACGCCGCCGGCCTCGACGAGGACATCTGCGCCACCGGGGTGGTCGTGGAGGTACTTTGAGAGATCGTAGACTGTGTTTCGCAAGTTAGTTTGGTGGCCTATGGGCAAGTTTGTAATGCGATTTGGGGGTTATTGGGCTTACCTTCACCGTGGATGACCATCCAGCAGTCGTCTGCCTCTCTGTGTGCGGCAACCTCCTTGGCCGTGAACTCGGGGCCTACTGTTGACTCGGTAGTCGCCATTGTGAATGTGTATGTGGTGTGGGTATCTCTGGGAGATGGTCGAAGGTGGGAAAGGGGGCGGGGTGAGAAGTAGTAGTGTTACACTGTCGCAGTCGTGTCGCGCTGATGATATAAAAGAGATTTTTACTATCTTATCTAAGAAATGGGAAGATCGCTGTCGATCGTGATGTGTGGACAAGGTTACAATGAACAGGACCCCTTTTTACTTCAGAGGACCGGGCTTCGGAACGGGGAGACGTGCAGCGTTCCTATTTATCGAAAGATGGCGAGGCCATGGCGACATTTGCCAGCGGAAAAGATGCCTAGGTATATCCACAATTTACAAGAGAAATCCAGAATCGTCGTCAGAGCATACATACACCTCACTCTGCATTGGATGACAATGAGACCGAAGGAAAAAAGGAAAACAAGGGTAATGTCCGAAGGGCAAAGATGCCGAGGCACAAAGATAAGTGTGGGCATCATCGGGGGACCCTGCGCGCGTTTCTCTGCGCGATAAAGTCGATGGAGCCCAGGGGGTATGGAGCTTTCTTTCGGAAGCTCCAAAACGTTCCAAAGCTTGGGATAATTTGGTGCCAGCAGAAGAGATGAATCTGGAAAGATTCGGCCGGCGGTCGGCGGGTCGGGGGCGCCACTGACAAAGCAGAGCCACGGGATTGGATGCCGGGGCCCGGACCCACTTACGGCGATGTGCCTCGGCGGTCCCGATACGATGAGCGGGTTGGTGACTTGATTGACGTTTATGCCTTGATTTCAGAGAAATGCACGAGACGTTTTCCTTCACTGCTGCACCTATCCATCGCCTCGATATGATGCATCCTTACGTGCTATAAGGGCAGAATTCTTGAAGAGTTGGTTTGCGAGAACGAAGAAGGCAGAAAAAAAAAGTGCGATCGGCAGCACAAATTCGCCAAGCCCAGAGTAAAATAGAGATGAACTAGGACAAGAAAGTGTAAAGCCAGAAATGCTACACCATGGAGACGGATAGGGATACTACATCGTAGACTGCCGGGAAGCCAAGAGATATGGGCCGCGGCTCTGTCTACGGAGTACTAGTCTACGTAGTAGCAAATGCAAGATTCGTTTCTGCACTGGAAATTCGTACCTTCAAGGTTGTTATCGAAGAATTGAGCATGGCTGCATGGCACGGTAACTAACGGTTCGGTCTCTGGGGCCGATTGACAGAACTGACGAAAATAACAAGAGACCCACATACGGACGGTATCCGGAAGAAAACGGTCGGTGATTGGATGCATTTACGTAGGTGGCATAAAACGAGCCGAGGCGACTTGGGCGACGACCAAACGGCGACGGAACCACATAAACCCTCGGTACGTACCCAGAGTCAGCCACGGTGGACCCCCACTCTGGCCCGCCCCCTGCCCTGCAAAAATTCTGCAGCTTTTTTTTTCTCCCTTTCGTCTCTCCTCTCTGTGGCGGCGTGGCCTCTCCCACGTCCAAGTACCTCTCGACTCCCGACCTTCGAGAAACACCATCTTGGAACTTATCAAATCCTTCCAACCACCAAATTCAAGCAACCACCCCCCCCCCCTGGCCTTTCGCCTCGGCACCTGGACGCCTCTAGCGCAGATCACCCTTGTTTAGCCCTATCGCGGCGCATCAAACGTGCTCCAAATCTCCGATTTTCTTCTTGCATCCATCCTCCTTCCGCGATGGTTCATATTTCCGCTGTCATCATGCCAGAACCGCGGCTCTTCTCCGTCCGCGCCCACATCTTTTGACTCTGCAGTCTGGAACCTACGAGTCTGTTGCTTGTTTTCGCCGTGTTCCACGCCGGCCACGGAGCCGATAGTCCAGTGGATTCGTCTCACGAACACGGTCCGCTGTTTTTTCGTTCGGACTTGAGCGCCGCCCATGAAGTCATGGCCCTTGGGTCAAGGGGACCTTGAGATGAACCTCGGCAGGCCACTTTTTTCTTTGCTCTTCACTCATCGGCCAGCTGTTCGGTCTGTGTGTCTGTGTGTTCCCACCAAAAGAATTGACATGGCCTGGGATCGGATTGGATAAGCTGCGCTATATTGCGATGTCCCGTGGGTACGTACTGTTTTGATTGCGATCTCTTTTTTTCTCTTATATATCGTCAACGGGTTGCATCCCCCTCCATCTGGCACAGCCTTTGGATTGGAAGCTTTGTCTTATCTACTATACTACTGCTACTTCATACATCTTGAATACAATTGTTTGGAGATTCTCAACTTGGTGCGCTTCTCCCCCTCAATCCACACATCACATTCCACCTCACATTCCACACAACATGTCATCACAACGCTTCCACCTGTTGGGTGAAGACCCCTCAGTCACAACAGAGTTCGAGATTCCCGCCTCAACAGACGAGGAGGGTCTCCAGCATCTCGCCGCCTCTCACTTTGCCGTCGTCGACCACAAGGGTAAGTCCAATCTTGTACGATGCCACAGCTTCTTGACAGCAAACTAACACAACCACAAGGCGTCGGCTTCGTCTCCGGAGATGAGGCTCTGACAACAGTCGCTGATGTCCTCGCCGCCGAGGGCCCCGTCGCCATCACCATCGACGGCCACGCCGTCCGCGAAGTCCCCGGCCCTTCGGGTCTGCCCTTCATTGGCAACTACTTTGAGGTCTACCCCGACCATCTCGGTAACCACCAGCGTCTCTTCGAGAAGTACGGCCCCATCTTCAAGACCACCAACATGGGTTCCGTCATCTACCACACCAACGACCCGGCCATCGCCAACATCTTCTTCTCCGAGAGCGACTTCTTCACAAAGAACATCATCCCCGGCCACCCGCTGTACCCCATCAAGAACAAGGAATCCGGAGTCTTCCTCGGCGACACGGATACCCCCGAGTGGAAGGAGGTCCACAAGTTCCTCCCGCCCGCCTTCGGTCCCAAGGCCGTCCGCCACTACGCCCCGACCATGCAGGCCACCATCGAGGACTCCTTCAAGGTCTTTGACGAGCTCGACGAGAAGGAGGAGGCATGGAACGTCTACCCCTACATGCTCAAGCTCGGTTCCCAGGCCGTCGGCAAGCTCGTCCTCGGCATGGACTTTAAGCACTTCACCGCCGTCGACGCCCCGCCCCACGAGATGGTCATCCGCATCGCCCAGTCTCTCGAGCTCAACAAGAAGATCACCTCCATGGGCAGCTGGTACGCGTCCCTGCCCTTCGGCGACCCCCAGCGCCTTCGCGACGCCCGCGGCCGCATCATCGAGATGATGAACGAGTCCATCAACAACGCTTCCAAGGGTGTCGAGAACCTCGAGCTGCAGGAGGCTGCCCTCCAGGCCGACAACATGGTCGACTACGTCCTCCGCGCCAGCGACAGCAAGGGCAACAAGCTCCCCAAGGAGCGCATCATGGAGCCCCTAGTCGTCGCCACCGGCGCCGGCTTCACCACCACCTCCTCCCTCCTCTCCTGGCTCCTCTACGGCATCGTCGCCTACCCTGGTATGCAGGAGCGTCTCCTCCAGGAGCTCATCGACAACGGCTTCGATGAAAACACCCAAATCACGGCCGACCTCACCCAGAAGCTGACCTTCCTCGACAAGTACATCAAGGAGACCCAGCGCCGCCACAACCCCTCCTACCAGCCGGCCCGCACCTCAAAGGTGGACATGATCCTCCCCGGCGGCTACAAGCTGCCCAAGAACTCCATCTGCATCCCCGCCATCCACCACATCCACAACAACCACCTGGTCTGGGACAACCCGGCCCGCTTCGACCCGGACCGCTGGGACTCGGACAAGGTCAAGAACCGGCCCAACGCCTCGTACATCCCCTTCGCCACCGGCCCGCGCATGTGCATCGGCTTCAACTTTGCCCTGCAGGAGGTCAAGGTCTTCTTGCCCAAGCTCATCTACCGCTACAAGTTCAGCCTGGCGCAGGAGGGCCCCGTCGAGTACGACCCCATGTTCCAGCTCATTCGGCCGAACAACCTGTACGTCCGCGCCGAGAAGCGTGTCAAGTGGCCTCCTAGGTCTGAGGCCTAGAGATGGGTCGCTCGTCGCGAGTTGTGTGTAAAACGTCGTTGAAAATCGGTTTCGGGATATAGAGTTCATTTTTTGTACCATCATCAGTGTATACCCTGGAGCATTGCATGGCGCAGAATATTTGGGGATTTTCGGGTAGATCTCATGATATAGACATAGAGCTGGATATGAATCTAGACTAATCACATGTTCTTTTTGAATTACTTTCCCACATTCGTCCGTGTTTGCTGATCCTAGCCCGATGTACTCAATAATTAGCCCTTTATTCGAACTGTTGCGCCCCAAACTGACCATTCAAATCAACCTGCAACAACCTCTTCTCCTCAATCTCCCCCTTCCTCTCCACCAACTCCTCAACATCCCAATTCGTCGCAACAAACCTCCCACTCAGGAATCGCGCCTTGTCCGAACACAACCAGACGACCGTTCCGCCCACGAGCGCGGGGGTATCGTGCGCAAAGGGGCGGAACCGGTCCATGGTCATGTCGGTGTGGACCATGCCCGGGTGCACCGAGACGGTGGTGACGTTGTCCGGGTTCTCGGCGGTGACGTAGGCGTTGAGCTGCTGCGTCGCGAGCTTGGCGATGATGTAGGAGCTCATGGTGGGCACGACCCAGTGGTTTATCGTGGTGATGTTGATGATGTGGGCGTGCGAGGTTACGGGGACGGATTTGAGGAAGTGGAAGGTTGGGTAGAAGGTTCCGCTGATGTTGGTGGTCTAGTTGTTTTCATTTTGTTAGCGAGAAGAATTTCCTTGATTATGCGTCGAGGAAGGGAAGAAAAGGGACAGGGCGGGATGTCCTTACGAGGTCTTCGATCCAGAGTTTTGGGTCGCTCTCTGTGATGAGGTCGAGCGAGTTCTGCACGGCGGCGTTGTTGACCAAGATGTCGGCGTGGCCGTACGTAGCGTTCACTTTCTCAAAGAGGCCCTTGATACCCGCTTCGTCTGCCATGTTGACGGGGTAGACGAGCGTTTTGACGTTGGCGTTGAGTTCCTTGACCTCGGCAGCGACTTCGGTGAGCTTCTTCTCGTCCCGGGCCACGAGAATGAGAGCTTTGGCTCCGGCTCTGGCGAATGCCGGTACGATTCCCTGGAAAATGGTCAGTTGAAGCCTCAAAGAGACAGAGAGAAGAGGGACTTACTCGACCACCGATGCCGCGGCTCGCGCCGGTGATTATCACGACCTTGCCGGCGAGCGAGAGCTCAGGGTTCTCTGGTTTGATGGCTGGGTATTCATCCCTGTAGACTTTCTTGGTGAATTGAAGGGCTTTGACGTAAAAGTCTGGTGGCATAGAGTCGGACGCCATGGTATCAGCAGCGGTCTCAATCTGATGGAGTTCATGATGAGGGTTCACTGCGGGGAAGTTGATGGATAAGTTCAGTTGCTCTTTTGTGGCAGCAAGGGATCTTATCAGCCAGTATCATTCAGATGACATATCTTCCCCTGGCTACCTGCATGTACGTTGAATCCGAGCCGTCCAAGCGGCTCGTCGAAACTTGCCTAGGCGGGGATAAGCTTAGCCGTATTCTCACGGTTGCACGCATACATACATGTAAGCACTTGGCAGGTCGAAAGCCCGGGCGGACGTGAGATTTGGGTTAAGTCCATCGCATTTCCGCCAAGGGCTAGTACGAAAGTACTAATTACTCTATCCATGACATTGGCATCCGCTTACGACATGCATGTATCTCTGACCATGACCGACCGAATGATGCATAGTGCTGACCCCAAGAAAGGGAGCCAGACAAAGGGGTCTGAGACTTTCTAGCCAGATAACCCATGGCAGCCACCTGTCAAACAAACGCCCACGCTAAGCGTCGTCTTCGACTCCAACCATCTTGCACGACTCCCTCCACGACCGCGCAGCCTTCTCTTCATCGTAAGCCCACGGCGCGTACCCAGGATCCATCGACGCCGGCGTGAAACCCTCGACCCCGGGACCGCCCTCGGCGCAGTCGTTGAGGTATTTCCCACCCTTGTTCTCCCACTCTTTACTCACGGCAGCGTAGACGGTGGTCGCGGCGCCCTGCTCGGGGTTCTTGAGCAGGCCCATGAGCTGATTGAACTTCTCCTCCCCCAAGTTGGCCTTGGCCGCCTCCACGTCGACGTTCTGCGACGCAGCCATGCTGGTCAGGATGGCGCCCGGGTGCAGCGAAGTAGAGTGCAACCCGCGCGAGGCCCCGTAGCGCCGCTCAATCTCGTCGGAGAAGTAGATGTTGGCCGTCTTGGACTGGCCGTAGGCGGTATACGGCTCATACGACCCCTCCTCGTCGAAATTGACGTCGTCGAAGCGGATGTCGCTGGCGCGGTGGGCCATGGACGAGACGGCGACGACGCGGGAGGAGAAAGCCGGCGTCGCGGACGCGAGGAGGGCGGGTTTGAGGAGCCGGAAGAGGAGGAAGTGGCCTAGGTGGTTTGTGGCGAATTGCGATTCGAAGCCGTCCACCGTTTTGGTCTTTGTCTGGGCCATGATGCCGGCGTTGTTGATGAGGATGTTGAGCTTGCCGTTGTTGCTCTTGGACAGGAAGTCCTGCGCGCCTTTGCGGACGGAGGAAAAGTCGTCGAGGGACATTTCCACGATTTCTAGGGACCCAGAGGGCTTGGTCTTGGTGAAGGCGGTGATGTCTGCGATTGCCCTCTCGCCCTTTTCGCGGCTGCGCACCCCGAGGAAGATGGTGGCGCCGGTTTGGTAGAGCGCGCGGGCGGTTTCGAGGCCGATGCCTTGGTTTGCGCCGGTGATTAGGATGGTCTTGCCGGTGAGTTTGCCAATGAGGTCTTCGTCTTGGATGATTTGGAGGGCTGTTGGGCGAGCGTCGCCTGGTCCCTTGGGATTCTGGTGGGCTTCGGCGTATCTAGACATCTTGAATATTCTACAGAGAGTTCGATTGACGATCGGGTGTAAGGAATGAGGGCTTGGTCTATCTAAGATCCAGAAGCCATTCACGGGGCTGAACCCCGATATTTATGTGCCTCGTTGATGATATCAAAAGCCATTGTGTTTCCAAGTTTCTCCTCCATGTCCGTCGTCGTTATCGTAACTTTCGCATTCCTCTTCCGAACCCGACGAAGTTGGCGACTTACACGCGAGGTGCGTCGCTTGAACCCCTGAGAAACTCTATTCAACTCCACCAACCACGCACACCACGGCATAGAGTTGTGGAGACAATGTTACATGTCAAGCGGCGCGTCGCCGGCGCCTGTGCTTTCTAGGGTGGGCGCTAGCACTCGCGGGCCTCGCGGCATAGAGTTAACCTTACGGGAAGCCGTCGAATGCGGAGATTGAACCGGCGGACTTTCGGGAGCGGAGTGGGACTCGGGAGCTGAAGGAACCCGGGATTAGGTTTCCGAACACGTTTAATGGCGCTCGAACTCCCGCACTCATGTGACCGCGATATGACTTGTGGTTACTAAGAGCAGCTTGTTGAGTATGGAGAAGTCAATGAGGGAATTATGTCGTTCATTTTCAAGGTACATTACATATCATAAACAAGTACGCTATAGTATCCTTCACCTCGAGATCCTTCATGTCGCTACTTCATAACTTTGAATCTGTAGAAGCTCTGGCGATCTTCTGCTGCACTTCCGCTCCCTTAGGAGTATCCCAGCCGCCTGAAACCCCGTGTATGATGGCCTCTTCACTGTCATTTCTCGAATCATTTCCGATATCCGTCCCCCCTCCCCTTCCTCTGTTGTTCGATGTGATGGTAGCTTTGTACCCAGTATGGCGACTCGGCAGACTTTGCAGAGGATACGAAGATCGAGTCCCCTTACCCTGGCCATCCCTACCGTTACTCCCCAGTGGATTCTTTGTTTTACATGATGAAAGACCCAGGAGGGCCGGAAAGAACGTCTTGAAGAATGCCTTTAGTGCCGACGAGCACCCGCAAAAGATGGCGACGTAAAGCTCCACGGCGTACCAGATCAGCGAGCTGGCGAACTGTCGGTATATCTCGGGTTCGTTCGCTAGTTGTCGGACGTAGTAGAAGCGTACGCAGCCAGCTGAAAGTATGGGTTAGCCATTAGCTTGATGCCTTTGATCATCATGGTTTGACTCGCCTGCGACGCAAACCACTCCGAGAGCAAACACTGCCGAGACTGCCCACTTTTGTCGCTAGCATTCCACGTTAGTATACTCGAAGAACTTCAGGGCTCCATGTATTGCGTACCTGGGGAAGCTGTAAACCCCATATCATGGGAATTGGGCAGACCCAAAGACAAATGTCCGTGACAATAACAATTACGCCGGCGGCGTCCCAGAATGCCTGTTGCACCGCAGCCGGCATGCAGTATTCCGCATAGATTTCATGATGCCCCTTTGATGTCCAGTATACCTCGGCGGGGTTGCACTCGATCGCCGACATGACGAAGTGACAGATTCCCATCCCGATCACTGCCGCCATGAGTCCGTAAACCGTCCATCGCATCTTTGGTCGGTTATCTAGGCGCAGATAGAATAATAGAAGACCGAGTTTGACGAGCACGTTGCCGACGGCGAAGAACAATCGGGAGATATAGAGTGACTATGCGAATTGGCGTGGCGTGAGTTAGTCTCTGGTAGACGATATTGGGAAGGACAGAGACTTCGAGAGTATTTGGAAGAACCTACTAGCAACATTGGCTCCCAGTCATTCAATGGTACTTCAGTCCCTTTTCTTGATTAGCGAAAGAAACCTTGGGCTTGTATTGTCCAGCTCACTGATCCTCCCTAGGCCGTGTCTCACGGCATTCATGATGAAAATAGACAGCATGATTGTGACGATCTACATTGTACCCGTCAAATAAAGTTTGATACAACGGAAAGAGTACGGTACTCACAGTTCCGGCAATCATAAAGACTATAGAGGTCGTTGGTCAGCAAGATTACTCGGACTAACAAGCTGTTCCAATGATACGTACAGTCGTCAGCGCCAATAGACTTCGTGATGGCGAACCTTGTATACAATCTGACTCCCATAACGAAGACTATGACGATAATTAATGACCCGTTGACCCCAAATGCCCTTCTTTGGGCCGTGTTGAACCCTTCCATCGGTGAGCTGCCATCCTCTTGGCGGCTGGACAAATCCCGAAAGACATTCATGGCTGATCGTAACCATTATGTCGAAGTAATCGACAAAGTTGTGTCCGAGTCGAGGACGGACCATCTCGCTGGGGAAGAGTGCACGAGTGGCGGGGTCAGTCTGGGATATAAACATCCTCTGTTCCCTTCCCTCACTCCCGTCGTCCTTCCCGGCGCAGACCGGTTTCCCAATTGGGCTGGCTCGCGCTCGGTCCTCGGCCAGCAGCCAGGATTACGAATGGTGAGGGCTGCTGCGCTGCAGTGTCTTCCAGGAACAGAACTTGATCGTTGTCACATAATGCTGACCTTTTCGAGTGGGTGTGGAAATTGGCAAGGCTTGGGTGAAAGAGGAGACTTTTACGAGTCATATAGGCTGCTTATCGTGGGACGTGATTGTAAATGCCAGAGATGGGTGGATCAAAATCAGGATATTATCTGCTTTGCGTGGAGCGTGGTAGCGTTGAGGGAGAAAACCACGTCAATAGTGTCCACAGGTCATCTATCAAGTGTCTACGGAGTAAGTCTTGCCGTGAGATTCTTCTATGGAATATGTCTTGCGCTGGAATCTTTCTCCCTCTGACAATCTTGATCTCCATCTTCTTCAAACGCCAAGTCGACCTCGTGGTTGGATCTGACAGATTAAAACCGGTTCAGCTGGATCCTCTTGATGCAACGCTGTACGGTAAAATCACTTTAGATGTCCGCGCGGAAGCCTCCCGTCCGTATTGGCTGTCACATTCCGTCCTCAGAGTTTCCCGATGCAGAAAATCTCCCGCTGTCATGACTCTGCACGACACCCAGCTTGCGTGCTTGTGTAGGTCTGACACGCCATGTGGGAGAGACGCTGAATCGCGAGCCAAGTTTTGAGTGGTGTGACGCGATGGAGAGTAATTGAGTGTGTGGATCAGTCACAATAAATAGGATATACAAGTCTTGAGGGGCGCACTGGTGTAACTGAAGACTCAGTTGACAATTGATATCTCTGGATTAGCCGTCAGGCTTCAGCATGACTTTGGGTAATCGATCGCGCTCTGACCAGAAGTTCGACCTGTCAACTTTGGTGGATTCTTTTCATGCGGGGAGGGCTGAACGGCGAGTGGGGAGCACCCCGATGCCGCTTACTACACGATTGGAAATGAGCATATGCGGACAGGATATACGAAGCGAGCATCCCACTCTTCATCTTCTTTAGAGGAAACCGCTCTTCTAGATTCTTGGAAAGACAAGCCTGCCCCGCGCGGCTACGACGGCCGACTACCTAAGCGAACGAGATATGGCACATAACACGCAAAAGGAACCACGACGACTCCGTCAGATGGACGTTCGGAATTCCCGGTGACTCCTAAGTCCGACTGCCAGTCGACAATTATACGGAAATTGTACGCTGGGCCAAATGTCGTTGTATTAGCCCCTGCCTTCTTTTCGCTCCTTCGGGCCCCCAGGCATCAAACCACCACTTCGCAAGATGAGATGTGTGTGCTGCGTCCAAAGTCGATCCGGGTTATGGTCATGGAGCATAGTGCGGGAGTCGAGTTCCCGATCTTTTGAAAAGTTATTCTGTCAACGTTGGTTGATTCGACTAGAAGCTGGGTACGTGATCCTTTGATCAAGCCACAGACCTGGATCGGAGTCTTCTACAACTTTGAATTAGCTTGCAATTAACATAACATATACTGTTGGAATATTGACGGCAGAAAAGGGTGGATTTGGAAGGTGGTCTGGGCCGTTGCAAACGGCCCTTCCACCTACTTACACCCAACGGAGGAATCGTGGGCTACGCCCACCAACTTCCTCCTTACACAGATATACGCAGTTCAATACCAAGATTATTGAGCTTCGTACCGGCCCACAGGCCCCTGCTGACGTGTATACCAACATATACTGACGGCCATCTGATACAGTCTTTCGTGCGACTATTTCAACGGATATTCGAATTGCGCCGTGGCCTACGCTATATCTTTGAATTATTTAAGCCCTGCGCAACCTTAACACATTTGGTCTGGTTACGATGGCGAACCCGAGGACAGACATTCCATTCGTATTGTCACACGTTCAATTCGACGGCGCATCTCATGCATACAAACGGCTAGCAATGGCTGCAGTGGACATAGAAGAAAACATCAGATGAAGTGAGTCGCGCAAAGTTTCACGGCCGACAGAACGCCTTTCCGAATGCGCGATGCACGGCTCGACCAGAAAGTTCCCAGCAGCTGCCTAGCTTGGCTATCAGCATGTACCGAGGCACAATAAATGGCATCGACAGCAAAGAAAGTTTCTCAAAATCAAGGCACTGCGCCAACTACTACCTCTTACATCACCATCACCTTCCACAACCCCATACAGGAGAAACAGGAAAGCAGGTCTCGCGATGCCTTCATCAGCTTCATCCGGCGGACTTGGGAAGGGCAAAGTGACCCTCAGCGGTGCACAGGAGACCCTCTTACTGACGCTCTTTGCCCGCGCCAAAGATGCCGAGTCCTCGCGGCCGATCCTGAACGACCAGTACGCCCTCGACATCGTTTCTCAGATCAAGGAGCAGGGATATGACTTCAAGCGAACGACGGCCGGTGGTCCCACCACTGTCATGTTCGCGGGCTCGGTCTCGATGCGTGCTCGCATGCTGGACATTTGCACCGAGCAATTTCTGAGGAGAAATCCCGGCCCGGCTACCGTCTTGCATTTGGCGTGCGGCATGGACTCGCGTAGTATGCGCGTCAAGTGGCAGGGCGAGGGCCGCTTATGGATCGACGCCGACAGGCAGGACGTGATTGAGCTTCGAAAGCAGGTCATGAAGGAGCCGGACGCGGGCAAGGGGGAGTATCGCTTGCTCTACCCGAATATCCATGATGACGCTTGGCTCAGCAACTGTAAAATCCCCACAGATCGACCGGTACTGATCCTTTTCGAGGGTCTAACGCCGTACCTCACCCCCGACGAGGTCTATGGCCTCCTGCGACGGATCGTGAACTACTTCCGGCAGCGCGGAGTCCATGGCGAGATTCGATTCGACGCCGTTGGGTCGCTCACGTACTACACTGCCAGCTTCTTCCTCAACTCCACCTTCAAGCTCATGGGGACGCGCTTCAACTACTATCTCGACGACCCGAGGACGTTGGAGCAGAAGGTCCCCGGCCTGAAGTTCAAAGAGCGCATTTTTGGTACGCCAGATCTCTTGGTATTTGGATTCTTAGGCTGGGTTGTTGGCTTCTTGGGATGGGTCGCCGATCTGTTTGGGCTCACAGGCCGTATTGGGGGAGGTTACGGATACGAATTTTGAGGGCTTCAATGGCTATCATATGATCCGCGTTCAGATTCAAGCCCAGTTGTATAAGCACACATCCACGTGAACTATCTTCAATACTATCTAGACCCTAAGTAAGATCAAAATGCCCTGCCCAATATCCGACTTAACTAGTGCGAGCTATGAAGTTGGTGTGGTCTTCGTATGACGCCTTGGCGCCGACGGTTAGCTGCGACATCATGCATAATGGCGAGAGTTCTCTTTGGTTGCCCGGCATGGTCATTCACAGTGGGATAACTAACCCCTCAATGTTACTCAACTGCTCGATCATGTTCAACACCTATCAATGAAGAATTGTCACAAAATTGATGTGGTATTGAACCTCAAATCAGTGTTCGACCCCCGGCAACTGGACTTTCTAACTCATGATGAACTTTCGTTCCTTCGCCCCCGACTGCTTACATCCACCTTGGTATCATTTCAAAATCTCACTGACCGCTTCTCGCTCAAAAGAACTTGTACTGCACAAGCAGCAATCGTCCACACACCAAGGACAAAGTTGCTCTTATGTATGCCTCCCCCACTCGATGGCTTGTCCGAGTCGAAATGCGCCAGCTGTGCGGCAAAGGACGCAGTCCAAATTCCCATCCAGCTAAACCAAAGCCATAGAGAGCCAAATCTTAGAAGATACAGAGGCATGCACATGATAATTGGACTGACCAGGACGACAAGAAATCGGTGGAAGTGGCGTCCGCCGACTGTGTAGAATGAGGTGACGTTGATCTTCTGGTCATCGACGACGTCTTGATAGCTATAGGCCGTGTTGAGGTATATAATCCAGAAGAATACCATGAAGCAAAGTGGCAAACAGTAGCCGATGCTATCACCAATGGACTCGTATCGACCGTGAATCGCGGATCGTCCCAGAACTGCGGGCCATGCAATGGTGAAGCCCAAGATATACTGTGGATAGATGCGCAATTTCAAAGCCATGGGTCGTTTGCCGTATGGATAAAGAACCGAAGCCAATACCACTGGGAACATGTGTTGAAACCTGATGACACACGTTAGAATACCTGGCTGTTGTATCAATTTGGAATGGTAGAGTCGGGGTGACCATACACATCCTTTCCATTCAGCATATTATGCACAATGGACAGAGACACGAGCAACTGCAACATCATCCACAGCATAGCATCTGTGGTAGTTACAATGCCAGCGGCTAGAGGACGATCCTTAGTTCGGGTGACTTTGGCGTCGATGTCTCGGTCCACCCAGTCATTCCAGACCATACCGGCGCCACAAAAAAGGTAAGCTGCGATGAAGCATAGTGCAGCCTGTCGGAAGACAAAGGCAGGCTGGATGTTGCTTTTGGGATCGACGAGTTCGGAAGCACCAGCCAACAAAACCGACCAGACTATACCAATGTGAGCGAGCGTTATAAAAGCAGGCTCTGGGGAGACCAAAGACATACCTCCAGCAAATGTAGTGAAGAGAGGGTTGTACTTGTTGAACCGTGAAAGGGTTACTAGGTGCCAGAATAGTGTGACCTTTTCTGGCTTAGGCTTGCCCGTGTATATCTCTTTGCATTGCTTCGTAGACTGCTCCAATTTGTATAGTGCAATAGCATGTGAGATGCTTTGGTATAACATGTCGGCGCGGGATTGATGACGGCGACGATTGTGGTTTGGCAAAAGGAAAGGCGTTTAATCGAAGGAGCCCACGTTCAAAGCAAGCGGACCGAACGCGCATGTGTGGTTTTAAACCTCCCGGTCTTTAATTCCTTCCCCTCCCCAGCTTTCTTTCAGCTGTGGACGCGCAGCGTCCGCCTTGATATTCCACCCGCCAAAAGGACCACAAGCTCCGCGTGTACATCGGTTTCAGATGTGACGTAGTTTGTGCTGTTGAGTTCGTCGTTGCAGGGAAGTTGCCGTAAGGCTTTTGCCGAGGTGAGGAGGTTCACACGTCTCGGCGTGTATGGCATTGATCAGGACATCTTAGCACTGTCTGTGTGGTTGTAGGAGAACCCAGTTTGCATGATCCGCCCAACGACACATTCAGCCCAAAGCTTCCAAATAGGAAGTTCTCTAGGAGATCAACGTAGCATGTCTCGCAGAATAATCTTGTTCTTGGAGCTTCATACAGATTCCGATAAAATGATCGAAATTGTATTATAACGGTGCTATCCAACTTCCCAACATGAACCACGAAGTCTTGATGAAGCAGGCTAGGTCTACACTGTACGACCAAAGTCGTTCTGGTTCATCTGAATTCTAGAACAGCCTAGGTCTCCGCAAGACCGTGCGCGAGCTGGAAAGCTGCTTGACTAGCCCAGCCCATCTAATGTTTCCTTCTCGATCTCCTGCAGCTCATCCGTGAGGCCTTCCACGGCAGAAGATGGCGAAGCTGGCCAGTCGAGGGATGTTCGTTGCATGAAAGAACAAGTGGATGTGTTCCTTGATCGTCCATCGAACCGGCAATGGAATAGCCTAATCACTGTCATACACGTTGTCCGACGAGCTAGCAGCATCCTGGTCCGTGCCATCGAGTTCACAACGCCTATGGGTAAAGGCGCCTCATTTTCAGCCGATCGTCGATGTATAGTTGTCTCTTGGCCCCCTTAAAGTCAACGGTCATCAAGTTAACATGGTCGTGCTATTCACATGATATCTACCGGAGCTGTGCTGACGTGTTTTGTCGTGGGTGGCTCTGATCGTTTCTACTTGTAGAGAATGCGAGCTCTGAGATCCACTTTGAGCCTGAAATGGGTGTTGCCAATGAGGAAGATGCTTGTTCGTAAGACTGTTGGACAGTGCTTCCCGCTGGCTTCGTCATTCACTAACGCGCAAGAGGCAGGATGTCAACAGTGAGGCTGCTAGGGTATGCCTACTCTTGGGTTTTCCCAGGCGTACCTTCTCCTCATTGGTATTGGTGATGATGATGATGATGATGTATTTAACGTCTGGTAACAAAAGGACGTGCCGGGCGCTATGCCGACATGGTCTATGCTAATTCATTGGTATTGGGGATAGCCTTTGCTGAGCTCTTGGCACGACCTCATCAACATAGTTCACGTGACACTCACCAAACCTCACAACAGTTTTGAAATAGAAAGTATTTACGTGGTAACTAGCCTTGTCACTATTCGTGGAGAGATTCATTTTTCATACTGCCATCTTGTTCAACCTTGGCGATGCCAGACCAGGATAGCTACCAAGGTTGTCGAAATGGTAGAGTTCATAGTTGGGTTGTAGGGAGGAAAAGGTACTTCAACAGGGTGGCAATACTGCAGTGTTGCTTGTGTACCCTCTGAACTAGGTAAGAACACTACCAATATCTCATTCTCATCGGGACTCATCCAGCAATGTATCAGTTATTGTGGGCAGTACACACTGCTCATCTGGACCAACGAGGTAAGCAATGAGGCAATACGACTGGTATTGACGGTTGGTTGGTGATGTTGTGGTGAAGGTGAAAGGTGGCTGCGGTGGGCTGGATCAACCAGGAAGTGGATCGGGCAGCTGGTGCCTGGGGCACCAGCTAATGCCTCAGGTATCCACAGTCCCACAGTTCTTGATAGAGGCGGATGCATATGCGCATAAAACGAGAAATTCAACGTCTCAAGAGGTCTTTGGGGCAAGTTCTCGATGAGTTGAAATTGAGTTTTAATTCCAATACACGGAAACTTAAGAAGTAAGCCAGTGGTAAGATGGACCAGGGTTCCGCGAAGGAGGGCTGGCTCGCCATGCGCCCCTATGCGGGCAACAGTATTCTGGAGTAGTGGAGGTAAGCAACGAAACAAATGCAAGTACTCAGCAAAGTTCTGACCGTTGTGAAAAAGAAATTTTCGTAGTTACCATTTCTTCCAAGCTTTAGCCTCAATGTCGTGTCCTCTTTGTCCGTGAAGTCTGCCCTAGGCTTGCGCGTACTTTTGGCTAAAATGTTAGGAAGGACCTGCACAACAAACCAAAATCAATGTCGACATTGACTTTGGCGATATGATTTCAACCAGAATCAGGGAGAAGGTGACATAAGCATTATGTGGTTTGCTCCCGGAGAGAATAACAGTCATCCGCAAGTCATCTTACCCACTTTCAACCCACTTTCAACCCACAATATTGTATTCGGTAACGTCACGAGAAGCTCAGCTCGTCAGTATTTCCGAGCGGTGGAACGGAGGTCTTGTGAACATAGCCGAAGAGTGATTAATCTCCTTCCGACTAATTGCCGACTGCATTAGCAGTATTTTATCGTCGTTGGCTCTATTCATCCTCGTCTTAACCTCGGCATCTACGTAGCTGCCTTTGGAGGCTTTAAAACATCTACATTCACGTCTGTTTAGTCCCTGGTTTTTAGGTCAAGCATCAAGTCATCAACTTGCAATGTCTACTAGTACGCCCAGTCGTGAAGGTGCCATTCTCCCAAACGTCTGTTATGTCCACGTCTCGACAGAAAACCTCGACGCCCGCACACCACCAGAAACATGCCACCTCATCTCCAAGTCCGGCATCGCAAAAGCCAAGCTCTCCTGGCCAGACCTCATCCTCAAATCCTTCTTTGGCGGCATCTTCATCTCTCTCGGCTCCCTCTTCAACCTGGTCATCGCAGGCGGCGCGCCCGGCCTCCGGGCCTCGAATCCCGCCTTAGCCACGATGCTCTCGGCATTAACCTTCCCCATCGGCTTCGTCTTAACCGTCTTCACGAACACGGAGTTGGTGACGAGCAACATGGCAGTCGTCATGTATTCGACGCTGCAGCGCAAGACGAGCTGGTATGACCTCGGAAAAAACTGGGTCGTTTCCTATGTCTTCAATCTTGCTGGGTGTTTGTTCTTTGCTGGAGTCTTGGCTTGGTGGACCGATACGCTCGAGTCTAATGCTCAGACTGAGTATGCGGTTGTGCAGGCAGAAAAGAGGGTGAATGTCAACTGGGGATACAACTTCACTCGTGGGATTGGTTGTAACTGGCTTGTGGGTTTGGCTGTGTACATGGCTATGAGCGGGAGAGACATGCTGTCGAAGATTCTGGGTATTTGGTTGCCCATTTGGACGTTGTAAGCGCCACTCAGAGTCTACTTGTCTCTGCGACTCCGTGTGTGTCAATGGATATGATTGGGCTAATTCCTAAATTTGCAGTGTCTGCCTGGGATACCAACACTCTGTTGCAAACTTCTTCCTCGTGCCCATCGGCATGTTCTACGGAACCAATTTCGGCGTAGGTAAATTCATCTACCAATCTGTTATACCAGTCACGCTGGGGAACATCGTGGGCGGTGCAGTCATGGCAGGCGGAGTTCTATGGTTTGTGTATGGAAGGAACGACGACCTAGTTGACAAGAAGAACCGTCTGCATAACCGAGAGCTGAAAACTGTTCCCGAGGCCGGTATTATCGATCCCCACCAAGTTATTGAAGGGAGAGACAGCGAGGAAACCGTTGCTGCGGAGAATGAAAGTGAAGGAGTGAGACAAAGAAGGGGCGCAGATATGGTCTAGCAACACGACCGTGGCAATGGGCAAACCACATCCTAGGCACCCATCATAACCATGGCGCACTATCTGTTGAAAAGGACTACGAATACCACTAAGTCTGCCTCACCCGTGCTTAATCCGGCTTAATCAGTTTAAAGTTTCGTGTTCTACATTTAAACGGCTGCCTATATAAAAGTGGACTTCAAGGCATGAATCGGGTCGCCCGAGTGCAATTAAGGCCGGCACCGTCGTTCCCCTTTTGGACAATCGCGAGGGAGCCAATCAACAATCGTCGAGTGGACACTGCCGTGTAAGTGCTCCCCGCCTTAACCCACGCGCCTTTGATGAATGACGCCAAGTTACACGAACGACTTCACGGTCTAAGAAGACTCTGCAAATTGGGCCCTTGTTGATACATCTATCTATCTATACACCTAATCGCACATCTAACTAACTTGCCTATCCTAGGCTGAACTCGGCGACCTCGGCCGCCAAAGAACGAATGAAGTTCAGGTTTGGCTTTTATCACTGCTGGGATGCAGTTTCCGAAGACTCTCCTTCCTTCTCCACCTTTTCGATATTCTTCTTCTCAGTGGTGGTCTGTTTTTCCCACATGGCATGATACCGGCCTCCGAGAGCCAACAGCTCGGCGTGCGTGCCGCGTTCAACAACATTTCCCTTGTGGAGTACCACGATCTGGTCGGATGTGGTGATAGTGGAAAGCCGGTGGGCGATAGTGATGGTCGTCCGACCCGCAGTGACACGCTCCAGAGCGTCTTGGATCTGCCTCTCGGTGTGCGAGTCCAAAGATGCGGTGGCCTCGTCAAGCAGCAAGATGCGGGCATCCTTGAGAATCGCTCTCGCGATGGCAATTCTCTGTCGCTCGCCTCCGGACAGCTTGAGTCCGCGTTCTCCGACCTTAGTGTCGTATCCATCCGGGAATGCGAGAATACGATCGTGAATGTTGGCAGCCTTGCAGGCCTCGTACACGTCGGCCTGAGTAGCATTTCGGTCGGCGTAGAGCAGGTTGTACATGATGGTCGCATTGAAAAGCACCGTGTCCTGAGGAACAACGCCAATATTCTTCCGCAGGCTGTCGAGTTTCAGGTCTTTCAAGTCGTGACCATCGACAGTGATCGATCCTTCATTGATGTCGTAGAAACGGAAGAGAAGCTTCAGGCAGGTTGACTTGCCGCTGCCAGATTCTCCAACAATGGCGGTCTTGGTGCCCGGGGCAACGGTGAAGCTGACGCCGTCAATCGCAGGTTCGCCCTTCTTGCTCTGGTATGAGAACTTGACGTTGTTAAAGGCGACCTCTCCCTTGACGGGGGGTAGGGTGACGGCATCAGGCTTCTCCACAATACCGGACGTTTCTTTGAACTAATGTTGGTAAACAAGGTTAGCGTTCTAGAGGTAGGTAGTTATTGAATCAGGAGAGACCCACCAGCTCAAGCATTCGCTCTGCCTCGATCAGATTGTTTTGCAGCATGGTGTAGTAAGTCCCGAAGAAGTTCAGCGGACCCTGCAATTGCACGAAGTAGTTGATCAAGCTGACGAAATCGCCAACACTCTGTTCGCCCCGCGAGATCTTGTAGGCAGAGACTGCAACAAGCAAAGCAGTGCCAAGGGAGAAAATAGAGCTCTGTGTGAGGTTAAGAAAGTTGAGGGACCACTGCACCAGCCGTTCAGCCCTTTGGTACACCACCACATGCTCCTTGAATCTCTCGGTTTCGGGCATCACTGCGCAATTGTGCTGCACCGTCTCATACGCCATGATGGCGTCAGTCTTGGTAGCTTCCATCTCACGATTCTTAGTAGCCATATCTCTTCTCTGCTTGCCGCGGTATTTGGCCACGTAGATGGTCAGGAAGATGTAAGACCACATGATGAAGAACACGATAATGGTGTAGAAGGCGTCATACTTGGCAAAGAAGACAACACCGGCAACAAAGATGTCGAACACCATGGGGAATACTTGGAAACAGAAGTTCTCCAGGAACGTGTTCATTGCAGAACCCCGGCTCAGTGCACTGGTGACCTCTCCGATCTTCTTGTTGAGATGGAACTCCAAAGAAAGTCCCAGCACATGTTCAAACGCAGCGCAAGAGAGTCTGCGGAACAGTGACTGAGAGACCGGGATCCAGAGAACAGATCTTGCGGCACCGAGAATGCCCTGATTGCCTTGCAGAGCGCGGTAGACGACGTAGAGAATGATTTGTTTGTAAGGAATGGTGCCATAGCCGAGCGAGTCGACAAGAGTTCCGAGCTGAATTGGCGCCAACACATTGATAGTTCGCTGACCGACCAGGAGTATGATGCAAACGACCACAATGCCCTGATAGACGGGAGAGTCTTTAGGCCTGGCGGAAAGTGAAGTCAGTTAGGAAAGTCCGGAGAAAGCGGTTGAAAGCAGAGCCACTATACCAGAGATACGGGAACAGAACCCTGAATCCAGCAAAGTAGTCAAGCCATCCTGTACCAGATACCTGGGTTCTGGCAGGAGGCTTGTGAGCAGCAGGCGCGTGGGGATGGGCGCCGCCGTAGTTGTGAGATGCTCCGTTCCCGTTTCCATTTCCGTTCCCAAGAAGGGATTGTCTCTCTTCGGGATCCGACTTGGGTTGCAGAGGCTTCAGCTTGTAGTCTCTCAGGATAAGACAGACCATCATCGCCACCAACACACCGATTCGGACAGCTGCCACAATATCCAATATATCAAGAAGGCCATTGGAAATACGGAAGGAGTTCTTCTCTGAAGAAAAGACAGCTGCAATGAAGGCCTCAAAGAGGGCACCTACGATCCACGCATAGAAATGCGCCGATGTTGGCGTCCAAGGGCCTTCGGGATCAGGAAGTAAACCAGCTAGGTAGTACAACAAGACGGCAACATATGATGCCTATGTGAATGTCAACACTCTCGAACTTTCTCATAGGGGTGTACTAAAGACCCCACTTACCAAGTAAGCGCTGAACGGGAACACGACCTTGCCAGCCCCATCGTATTGGCCAGCAATAGCGCCGTGAACGGCAAGGACGATGGTGGCAAGCTAGGGAAAAAAAAGTGTGAGCTTTGAGGACAACTCGGGATCTGTAGAGATGCTTCCAAGACTCACGAGTAAGAGAGAGAGGACGAGCTGAAAGCCCCAGATTATCCGCGCGTACAGTCGCGAAGCTTTCTTCTGCTCATCGTCCGTCGCGGTCTGACGCGTGACGCCATGGCGATCCCGGTAGAATTGATAGGACTGCGTCGCCAGTAGAGTGACAAAGAGGCCGCAGGGATAGAGATAGAAGGCAACCTCCAGTCCCAGCAGAGTCTCCGCCATGACTTTAGCCGTTTGTATTCAGTTTGAGGGTGTGTTGAACGAGGTCAAATTCATGATGGCAGTTGGGATGATGTCAACTCCCGACGGTGCCGCAGATTCTCCGACAGATCTCCCTGGCGCGATTGGGGTGCACGGACAGCAAACGGCGGGAGTTCCTCGGGCGTTGAAGATGGCAAGAATGCACGTGCCTTAGTACCTTTTTGCTTAGGTAAGATAAGCACGTGATGTAGATGGGAGATAGGTCCTTACCTAATCATCATGCTGCGTAGTCAGCTTCTAGCTCCCACTGGCCTCAGCTTTGGCCTAATTCTCCAACGCCCGGCGAATATTTCGTTAGGTTCACAAAGCCTAAAGGGTCCGCCCACTCTCTCGCCAGTCATCCATGAGTCTATGAATCAGCACCAGAATCGGCGCCGTCCATCCGATGTTTATCTACTCAACGTTGCCGTTCTTCGGGTTACGAGATCATGAGATGTGCCCCAAGCGAGCCGATTTACCGTCAGGCTAATGCAGAATGGCCTAGCTGACCTATCCAACTTGGTCCAAGACTCGAGGGAGCCAGAGCTGATGTCTTTGACGAAGCGATCCAAGGCCATGACACAAAACAGCGCAATCCCCACGCCGTCTCGTGTCCATAATTTGAGATTACCGTCCGGGGGCTGTGCCCGCCCGTGTTCCCCACGGTGGATGATCGCCCTGATCGCCCTGACAGCAGATGCCATGAACTCTAGAATCCTTGGCATCGCGTCTTTCAGCAAGATGTCGGTCGGGACTGCCCGCACAAGGCGACAGACCAGGCGCTTTTCAATGTCTTGGCATTGAGCTAGCCGCAAGGGACTGCACCATGATCGCTTTCTCCAGACACAATTCAAATCCCCATGTGTCTATTTCAAGCCCCTGACGATCTGTCAGTAGGAGAGACGCTTACTCGATGATTTAGTTCCCCCTTTAACCCAGAACCGCTCAGCTAAAAGCCTTGGTGCCGGGTACCGAAGACCATTTCATCCCAGATCGACCGTGGCTGCAGCGGCATGCCCGTGGTGCCGTGTTCCCTTGGAAAGAAACACCCCGCATGCTCATGCCTTTGTTCCATATTTGTAACGCGAGCCAAACCAAAGCGTTCCACGCCCGATCGGGTTGGACGGCAACTTTACGAGGCCCCTGATTGGGTCGACGATGTCTCCAGGTCTACAAGGTTCAGAAAGTTCAGTCGTGTAGTCAGATGTGGTGCAGGGAGCTAGGGCTGGAACGACACATGTCGGTGGCCTCTAGACTTTGGCAAAGTGTCTGAAGACTGCCGGTGCCCGAACTCCCAGGGCCCGAGAGGGTCGCTTTTTCCTTCGAAGCACGGGTCCCGCGGCCACGACTAACACTCATCTGGTCAGGCGAACATGACATGGACACCACGGCCTTGACATGGAGCCATCAAAACGGTGAGCACAGCCGTTCGCCCTAAACAAAGGAGACGCTCATTTCGTTCCCTCTTTAGTGTGCTGGCGCAGCTCTTGCTACGGTTGAAATCAGGCTCCAGGGTCGTATTTCTTTTTCTTGCGATCAATCTCCGTTTCTGATCTACCTTGATCACTTGGTGTTTACTGTTCAGTGTTTCCCTGGTTTTAATACTGCCCTTCTCCAACCTTATAGGTGCCAGACCTGGATAGATTGAAACCATCGTCACTCTATCAAGGTAGGAAAAACGCCACTTTCAACACCCTTTCGAGGGCGGACACAAGTCACTTGACACTTTTGTTTCTCTTTCTCCATTGAGCAGCAACTTTCCTAATACCCTCACCATTTACTTCTGAAACTTCCCTTTGTTTGTCTCTCCTTCCACCTCTTCGATTGCCGCCTTCATCAGAAGTGGTTTCGAACATACAACCCAAACATCATGGCCGACTTCACAACAAGCCTAGTAGCTAGGTCATTACCGAAGATCGAGACAATCGAGAATGGACCAATATCAGGCCTCCAGGCATATGGATCGCTTCTTCTCGTCTCGAGCGTCATCGTCGTTGTCATCATCGCCAACATCCTCGAAAGATGGCTACTGGAAAGAGTCTACGGCGATATCTACGCAGTTTTGCAACGCCCCGAGAACGAGAAGAGACGGCGTTCCTTCACCTACTACCACATCGGTGCCATCATCATGCTCACGCTCTTCTGCATCGGTGTCTACCCTGTCATGCGCTTCCTCATTGGGTCTGCCGATTTATCAACAGACGTGTCGCCAGGACCAGGGAGGCGTATCAGAGTCGGCGACCTCTTGTACACAGTTTCGCAAACATACAGCGCCTACTATGTCTTCGAGCTCTGCTACCGGACGCAGTTTGCGAGTCCCCTCAGCATCGCGCATCATATTGGACTCTTGGCCATCACACAGACCGCTCTCTCCCTTTTCGGAAATATCAAGAAACACCCGGAAGCAACAATCGAGTTCTACATGTGTATGGTGTGGGGTATGTTGATAGCACTCCACCCGACTCTAAGTGCATTGCGAACTTGAATGGCTGACTTTTTGACGCAGGCGCTTTCGATGTTGTAGTAGAACTTCCCATCTACCTTTCCATGATCATCTGGCGACTCAAGCGCGGCGACCATCGACTGCTCTCCTACCTCACCTCCGCCTGTTTCGTATGGGTTATTGTTGGCGCAGTCTCGGAGACCGCAGTCACGATTTACCTCTTGCACAAGTCTTGGGACCGATGGGGTCACGTGTGGAGAGTAGTCACTCCCCTCATCTTCACGCTGTGGATAACAACTCAGCTTTACGGCGCAACGAGGCTCTTGGCGATGGCTCGGTCGGAGAAGCGGAAGGCCAGCAAGCGATCACCAGAAGAGGGTTCTGTGGAGCCCATCGCCGAACTACCAGGAACGATGGAAGACGGAGAAATTCCCGGACAAGAAGAGTCCAAAAGCAAAGCAGTCTAAGGACTATACAGTTAATCGAGATTAAGGACGCCGTTCACAAGCCTCGGAACGGTACACGCCCCTCATAGGAAGATTGAGGTGCTACGCCACGCTCATCGATGCTTTGACGAATATAATAGTGGTACCTGCAAAACAACCCTGATCGATGATTATGGTATTCACGGATTCTGTCTGTGGTGGCAACTGGGGGATCGCCATTCAAGCATAACCACCACGTGTGGAAAAGAACAGTAAACTCTGCAGGACCTCATACAGGTCCCCATATCTAATCAGTAATTGAAGAACAAAACAATTAAACCCTTGTCCCAAGATCCTCTAGCTAGCCAGATCATCGTAGATCTCAAAGGTATTGACAAGCTATTCATACATGAGGAAATCTGTCCCGTCGCGTTGCGTGTCCACGGCGGTCCCGCCTTTGAAGATTGGTCCAGGCGCTTGATCAGTGATTCAACCTGGTCACTGGCGTCTATGTCTTTGATAGCCACTCAATTCCCTTGGCCGAGTCGGTCACGACTAAATTGTTTTTCCTAACCGATCCGTACTCTGTTGATGGCCAACTCCCGTTCCTGGTTGTCCGTCCTTCGGATCTCGTATGGAGCCGAAACGAAGCCGCTCAGACTTCATTCTTCTTGACAAGTCTATGCCATCTAACCATCTGTATTTTCTTGGCACATCAAAGAATTTCGAATCTCGCAACACAGTAGAAGCGTACCCAAGGACTTCTGGCCCGCGCGTCCAGTGTTTGAGAACAACGCTCGAGATACCAGCTGCAAGAAGCACGATACTCGCGACGAAGAAGAGTATCAACCACAACGGGGAAATCTGAAATTTGATAACAGGGGTGCTTGTTTCTGTCTTAACCGAGATCTTGGTTCCGAACGTTGATTTTTCCGCGTCCCATTCTGCAATCTCGAATGAAAGCTGGCTTATTAATAGGTAGGTATTGAGGAGCTGGCTTAGTCGAATTCCCATATCCTTGGCTGTAACATTCTGTATGATGCAGTAGTCTTCGCCCCTCAGGTGCCGAAGCCCTGGGTCAGCGAGATGGTAGAGTGAGAATTCTGACTTGTAAGCCGTGGAGCCTCCGATGGAGAGCGGGAGCTCGCGAGAGACAAAGTCAAAAAAGGCGGGAAACGATAGCTGTGATATGTCTCCGGGAGCATTTTGCTTCTGAGATTGTCGCTGGGCTACGACGGTGCAGTCATGTTTGCCGGTGGGTGTGGTGCGGGTACAGTTGACGCGGGACTCGACGTACTCCTGAGTTACCCTGCAGCGGCTCTTTGCCGAACAGCCTGTGTGGAATTCTTGTGGAGGGAATATGCTTTCGAAGAGTAAAGTCGTCGGATCGGCCTTGATGTCCTGCTCATTTTGAAACAAGATGGGCCGGTGCATTTCCTCAGCGCGGTCATGCAGTGGCCCAACGCCTGTTCCGGTTGGATCATCGGCAGGTTGCATGGACATATTCGGTCTACGAATCTACCAAGTGCCAAAATCCAAGTCGAATCTAGCCCGGTAGTGTTTCTTGTGTAGTCGTATCCGTGCCATGTACCATTGGGCAACTTTGCTGATTTTGTGTGATTGCTGTCGACAGCCACAGCAGCGCCTGACAGCTCTTCATTATATACCGTCTCTTTCAGGGGATCGTCATCCCCTAGCTCCATGGCACGGCTTTCAACAGCTGAGCAGTCTAGTTTGATGTAGCTGGACTCCAGCGAAAATACGGTGTTCCCAATCCCAATGCTGTTAAGAGGGATCCCGGCCAAAGACGAGTACTCATTCACGTTGAGATCTCGATCAAAATCCAACCAAGCATCTGTGTCTAGGTGCTTCAGGAAAGGTATCTTGACGTTGCCCCAAATATCCATAGCATCTGCCTTGATTCCCTCGGGCATTGAGATAAGGGTGTTATACAACGTTGACATCGGCCGGAAGCTTGCCATGGAGGTTGAGTATGAGAACCCCACCCATGTTGCCCACAGTACGGCCTGACTCTTCGCGTTGGTGTCAAAGTACGTCATGCTCGTGTTTATGTTGTCCGAGGCGGTCTGCGACGACATCATTCTCAAGATTTATTGAGTACCCAAAGGTGAAAGCGCCCACGATGTTGAATGATCGAAGTTGTATCAGGTTAAGTAAAGTGGCGCCTACTGTGCGGCTGCCTATGAACTGCTCAAGAGAGCCGAGGGTCGTGCCGGTTTCTAGCTTCCAGGGTGCCGCTTCGTATGTCAAACGACCGACAACTGACGCAAAGAGGATGGGGAAAACGGTAGCGAGCTATATCAGATTGTCAATATCATCTCCTGGATTACGTTCATGTAGGGAAAATTTGTGATTACAATTCTGATTGCGTTTCCCCAGTCTTCGCGGGAGTCTTCGGTGCTCACGGAACCGTCGAGACGCCAAACGATGACAACGAAGGCAAGAAGACCCAAGGGAAGGGCAACAGCGGCGCAATCTGTCAAGATGATGAAAAAGCCGCACCTTGTGTTCGGCAAGTCAACCTCTGGTGCGGCGCCATCGGAGTCGTCTTCCGCGGCACGATTGTACTTCGACGTGCCATCGGTCGAAAAGCGTGGAGCGCTTATCGTAGATGCCAGGTCTTCTGTTGCAGCATCATCCAGCTCGGGTAAACATTGCTGGGCCTCGGGTTCTAAACGGTAATTACTGTTGGATTCCAGCGAAGTGCGTCGACTTGAACTTGGAGAGACTGGTTGCCCGCCTGGTCTGTGAACCATCGAAGACAACGAGTTGAGATGAGAACTGTGTTGCATTTTGTCGCTATCCCATCGGGTGCGGATGGACAGCACTTTCGCCAAGGCCCAAGGGCGGGGTAGAGCCAATAAGGGCTTGTAAATCTATTAGGCTAACCAATAGGGCTGCAGTACCTCTATTTCCTATAAAATTTGGGTGTGCCAGAGGTACTAGTAATCTTTACTGATATATAACGGTATATTATAATCTAAGCAGCCCTTTCGAGTTGTCTGCCGTCGTTGTCGAGCAATGATATTTTAAAATATCTCCTTTAAAGCCTTTCTATTACTATAATAAGTATAAGGTGAAGATACCTTTCTTAATCCCTTCCTATGCTGTTCTTATAGAATAAAGGTATTCTTTTTATCTATAGTGTTACAACCCAACATGCATAATGACAGAATCCATGCATGCTTCTACGCGAGTCATGGACATAACCCATTCGGAATGGTCTGACCATCACGAAACAGGCCAGACTGTCATTTCCACCTGGTCCTAGCTCTGCAAGACTTATTAGGATAGCATTAGGCCCACAAGCCTGTGGTGATTCCATCCACTCTTTAGTACGAATAGACGCTCTTTTCTGCTCACTCACATATGCATATTCCGCTGGCCACCCTGACTAACCGTCACATAACAAGGCCAGGGGGCCCGCCCCACAGGCCTGCAGCGGCTATCTACCTGATATACGCAGAGAATCCGGGAACTCAGGTGACTCCTCATGGAACGGAAGAACTATGGAACAAGTCACGTGACGATAAGGAAAGTGAGCACACGATAAGGTGATCACAGTGATCACCCAAAGTGAGCGCTCACCAGTATCCACTTAGTGATCACCAACGAACATGGTGATCAGGCAACAAAGGATATGTTCAGGATCAGGACTTGTATATAGGATGGACTCGAGCCGGGCTCTAGGACAGACTTCCCATAGCTTCTTCAGCAATTAACTTCGTATCAGGATTAACATCCGCTTTCAGCTACTACCTTGACAAGACTACGATTGATCACCGAAGCCTTACCTGCCCTTACGATTGACAGACATAGTTTCCTTGAAACTATTCCACGACTACGATTACTGTTACCAGTTCCGCAGCCTCAACTTCTGCAAACTACCCCTACGACTAGCTGGCCGTAACATCTTTGCCCACCTGCTAATGGTCTAAACTGTTGAATAAGCTGGGCTGCAAGCAGCTGCCGCCATTGGTAGTGGGTTTTCACCTTTTGCTACCTAGGGCTGCCCCAGAGCTGCAGTAGGAAGCTATTTATAACTACCACTTCCAGCAGGAAATTCCAGGCAATTGACTGCTAGCCCCCTCGACGAACAGGGTGGCTATAGTGATAATAGGACCTCATCTGGTCACTTATATCAACCCCATTCATCTTGTGGTTGTATTCATTAATTGCCCTAGGGATTGGTAGGTCCTTGCGGACGTCTGGGCCAAAGACTTGCCGGGCAGCCCTCTTAGCAGTGGAATTCCCAGCTGGGCGGCGGCGGCTGCGAACAACCTCCTCGCCGTTCTGGAAGACAGTTGATAGGAATAGTACAAGGGCATTATCCTTCCAGGTAAACTGGTTAACCTATTTACTAGTTAGCTAGGTAGGCTAGGCTAGGCTAGGCTGGTAGCTTACCTCCTCATTAAAAGTAGGGATATAGTGTACTTTACCCTAGGGGATATCCCCTCCTTTAGTCTCTTTCTTATTAACTAGATCTTATCTATCCCACTATCCTTTCGGCAAGTACTAGAAGCTCTAACCTGTTGGTTCCGTAAGGTACGAAAGAGACGTATAGAAGTAAAGAGGTTATCAAGAAATACATGGTAGGTTGCAGCTAGAAGTAGGGAAACAAGGGTAGTTACTACATGCTGTGTTGGTATCAACAGAGCCAACTTTCCAGCAGCCAGCCCAGCCAGCTGGGCTGGCTGGGCCTGAGGGACTAATGCGTATAGGCCCTTTCCATGCACATGCCACAGCCGGCGTGGTGTAGTGGCATACACCTGGCAAGGCCTCTGGAGCCCAGAGGTCGCTGGTTCGATTCCTGCCGCCGGCAACTGCTTTAACTACCTGTGGGAAGGGTAGGGCAGAGCCCAATGCAGGGCCTAGGACCCTTTCCGGGCCCTCGCCAGGGTTTTCTCATATCCACACCCTCCGACCAAGAAAAAGTGGATATGCGGCGAGTACACGTCGTTAACCTAGTACTGGGGCAGGAATGGTCTTGTACAAATCAGAACATGTATGAGGGGCCTGTTTCGGCAGGCCGCCCTCTCCAGACATATCCGGCCTTAAGCCGCAAAATTCAAGAATGGAACTGGGGCACCAGCGGGAACCAGGGACAGATAGAACGCATAGTAGCCATAGGCACGATTTGGAGGACGATTTGAACTGTATCTAGCAATAGTTATAGGGCGACGGCTCTCCACGCCATATACCCTTCGGGAGGTCGGCCGCAAGGGCGGCTGCGCCCTTGCCGCCACGGCGTTAGATATAACAAACAAACAAATGCACATGCCACAGCCACCGTATACAGTAGCCAGACTGGGCAAGGATCCAGATCTTATAGCCAGTTAGGATAGGCTTCGTTGGAATCGTCGTTGTCTCAAAAGATCGACCTGTAAATCGGACCATAGCCTCATCAACTGTAAAGTCTGAACCAGGTATATAAAAGGAGTCCAGTCTCTTGGATGTAGGCTGACCACTAGTTAACCTTCCGGTATACATCTGGCATTTAATCTTAGGCCCGGCGCTAGCGCCAGCCCCGGCCCTGGCTGGGCTGGCTAGGCTGGCTAGGCTAGAATTTAGCTATGTTAAATATCCGTAGTCGCTGGAATAGTAATTAGAAACGGTCCTGGGATATAAACCGTATAAATAGGTAGATAGGATCCTCCCTCTCCTGCTAGGTTAACCAATAGGTTAATAATCTAGATTCCCTATGGATCCCTATATATAATAAGATCCCTAGGAAGAGGTAGATCTCATCTACTAAAGTCTGCCGCCATGAATTCACTCTAGACGTTCTAGCCCTAAGGCCCTCCTTAAATAACGGCGCCGCATTCGTCCACTAGGCCCACTACTCCACGAGGCTCTGCGGAACATATTATAAAGAGGTCCAGCGGGCTTTCCAGCAGCTACTGTACCTCTTGGGCCCGGGCTAGCACGTCAAACGGCCGGAAAGAGCCCGGAAAACCATGCTCGGTAGCAGGAGGTTCGTGGGGCCGGACTGTTGCTACGTCACAGCGCTCTGGCGTACAGTCTGGATTACAGGCAGCAGTAAGGTCTTCAGGAAGGATCTCAACTACTATACAACTACGTACAGAAGTAATAGAATCACTAGAAGACATCGCAGCATTAATCAAAATGGAGTAATAGTGGTGATAATAGGTAAAGAGCATAGAGATAAATGACGTACTGTTAAGTACCCCTTTAAATGCGGGGCAATAGTGGGTAAACAGTGGGTATTTCGTGGTCTTGGCGAAAGTGCTGTCCATCCGCACCCGATGGGATACCTTAGGTATCTGGGAATGATAAGTGCTTGAGACTAGTCCCATCCCCTCACCAAATGGGTTAAAGAGAAGTTTCTTGAGCAGAAAAGCTAGTAGAAGAATAACCCAGGGTTATGAACAGGGACCTGCGCTCATTAAGAGATTGAGAAAGGCTGTGTAACGATGAACAGGCGACCAGTAATATGGCGATGTTCTGTTCGAAGATGGCTGCAGTCACAAACTCATGTTAGGGTTGCGTCACACTCAATGTCAGCTTACGCCCAGAGCGATCATCGTCCTTAGTTTCCAGTTCTAAAAGAAGGACACGTTATATCTACAATTTTCGGATGTGCAAATCATGATTGGACTTGAGGTTCTGGAACGGCGCATCACCGGCGCTGTCGAAGCATTGAAGGAATGCTCAATCTAATTGACCTTTGCATCATGGAAAGTAATCAGAGAAGCGGAACAAATTTTTTTGCCTGATCTTACATTCTTTGGGTTACTTGAATCCATAAAAAAAAGACAGAATAAAAAGCGGTGCGGTAGCATAGTTCTCCGTAAGATACGGGAGCCTTATCTAGCTACTCGCATCAGGATTCAGGGGTTGAGACCGGTGAACTTACATGTGTGTAGGTGCACTTCAACGGGTAGAGGTTTCAAGATGTTCTAGAGACAGTACTTGAGATTCTATTTCGTAAACAATCTAAGAACAAATCTGCCTTTCCTGGCCAAGCGATCACACATATACACTGACTTACTGAGACAAAAGATCGTGGGATACTTCTGTAGGAAAACCAGTCGAACTTATGGTGACGAACGTAAGTTAGCAACCCATAACGAGTGTGGCGCGGTGCACAGCGGATCAAGTCGTTGCTTGGGGCTGAATGGACGAAAAGTTTAGGCACTTGAGATCAGTAACCCCTGCCTGTGGCTAGTCGCTACTAGATTTGCCGGAACAAGGACATGATGAGCGAAGTGGGTATCAAGCGATGCCATTGATCCTTCTATTTAACAAGGTTGAACAAACACGATCTCTAATCTAATTGTTCAAATGTCATGGTAATAATCTTGCGTATTTGATTTAATACGTCTTTGGTGTTGTGCTTGAGCCGAATGTCCAACATCATTCATGCGCGTGTGACCAAACGGCAGAGAGGGGAGCTGAAATTTGATCAAGGCCTGACATGCATGCGCCGCACCAGCCCCCTTCAGCTGGCTGGGACAATCTCGGTCTTTGCCGACCTTGACGCAAGAAGTGAGGCGGGCTTTTGTCCCGTTCCACGTCATCTGTCTTAGGCGCCTTGAGTGGCTGCCAAAAAGTGGCAGACAAGGCAACCACCCAAGGGCATAGCCACAGGACGTCGAGATGGAGGTAGCCCATCTGATAAGCAGTTATCGCCATCTGTGTATGCAGCTAGACTGCAAGTTCTCGATAGATTCAGCCACATTCACTCAAAGTGTACTCGATTTGGAGTTTTCCAGCTCTGATACATAAGCGCGTGATTCCTATTCGCTGTTCACATCAACTTTGGCAGACTCGTTTTGCCCACCAGCATGTCTTGTAACCGTTTAGATCTAGCCTCTGCGTCACATTTGGACCACAGGATACGACGCTTAAAGCTTGCGGCACTGTAGCCTGGCAATGGCCGCCTGGTACCGAAGAATGGGTTGCAAACCGAGCCACTATCCCTTAAATTCGTCGATTCCTCGTCCGTAATATCCTAGCCGAGCCTGCGATCCCAATGTTCTCACCTCTCTCAGACTGCCGCCCGACGATATCAAATACTTCAGCCAACGGCCATCAAACTAAAATCATCCATTGGACTGGGTGGAAGTGTTTAGCAAGATGGAGACTGATTATTTGGTCAAGGGATGTTATTGCGAACGAATGATGGAGGAAAATGTGCCTGATCCCGACGTAACGGGCTGGGGAGTAAGATTCTACGAGGTGCGTGTGTTGGCTTTTCAACTGATGCTAATCTCGGATAGATTATCTCATCCTTTTGTTTTTCAATCATCATGAACATGATAGCCATCATTGTTGCATATGCGACAAAGGCGCTACCCGAGAACCGATACAACCCAATAGACGATATTATTCATTCCAGAGGGTCATCGTCGCCCGACCGGGAACAACGCATCAAGGCTTTTGAGTCCTTCATGCTATCACTAAGTGATCAGCAACTAGTCACTGGCATGGCCCTCATGCTGGCAACTATTTTGATATTCGCGGGAGTAAATGACCTGGATGAGACCTTCTCGGTGTACTCGTTTCAAATTGCAACTCGACTCGGATACTTCTCATGCATCACGCATCTGTGTTCACTCACAGTTTTATGGGACTACTTTGACAAACATAAACGGCTAAGGTTATTCCGAACCATCCTCATGGTTGCATTCCTGGCCATGATGATCGGTTGCATGACCATCTCGGACTCGGTTACCTTTCGCTTTAACCGTCACGTTTCGGTCAAATGTGCAAGAAAGCACTTCAAGCTGATTGATCGAGAAAGGCCTAACTATGTCTTCTTTTCTGACGAGATCATCATAATCTTCAACTTATCAGTACTAACTTATATCCTCATATCTGGCTACGTCCAAAGACTTCTACAACTGTACTGCCCGTCAGCCCGGTACGAAAATGACTTTTGGCAGCGTCGCTCTATACAAGCCTTTTTTGGGCCTGAATCCGCAGCAAAATTTCGTATTCTGGCTTCGGCTGAGAACAAAAGGCTGGCAGATGTCAGATCTAGCTTTCTCTGGGAGATTGTGTGGCTGTTGTTCTACTTTACATTCGGGACAGCTAATCTCCTCGAGTTCTTCAATGATGCGAATTTGAAACTTGGTGCCATTAAGCCAAATTTCGGGCAGCTTGTACCTCTGTTTCTTTTGGCTCTCCCGCTCATCACGGCCCTCGAGGCATACTCAAGTAAGTAGACCCTGGTTTTTGGTCGGTTGAATGACTGAAGAAGAAGTACCTATAAGTTACGGGTCCCAGCGGCTGGTAGACTCAAACTCGCCGACTAACACTCGTAACCCCCAGCTGCTACTGCATATAATGGAGTACCTCCCCAAGATCTCGAAGACGCAATTTCTTTGCATACACTTGAGACCAATGCCTCAGATCGCAGGGACTTGCTGCCGACTTCCCATGCATCTGGCAGCCAGCCTTTGGGCCAAGCCCCGGGAAATCAGTCCCCATCAGAGGTTCCTACTGTTGTAAGTTGTCGCTTCGCGTGCGATTTCGTGTTAAGCACGGGCTTGGCTGACCTCAACGATTAGCCGCCGATGGAAGAACCAGATCAGCTCCCGCAAGCATCTGAGACTTCGGCTAGCTTACTTTTACTGTTGCTGGTTCCTTATGCGGCTGGACTTATGCTTTGGGCTCTTATCTTTGCAGACGTAATTCCCCACAGCTTCTTTCTTTCCATTGCAGCATGGGTGGTTGCATTTTTGATCGAGGTTGCAAGCTTTCGGAGCTGGTTTACGATTGTACTCACTTCTATATGTGAAGTAGTAAGGGAATGGTATCTGGCAATGAGCAGGATATTTGATTGCTGCAGCAAACACTCCGGACATGGCTAGCTCCAGTGTAGAAGGCCTTTTGGTCTCGCAGTCTTGAGTGTCATGTAGATGGGCTTTGAATCGTGTACTTACGCTCCATGACCAGATATCATCCTCCCAAATAATTCTCATTACCTTGTAGAACTTTCAATTTGATACTTGGTGGACGCGAAGTATTCTGACTCCACACTTGTCAGTATTGTTCAACAGCCGAAGGCCATTCTGGAAAGGGTCAAGGTTGAAGTCACCATCGCTTCTAAGCATCTTTGCAAACAGAAGTAGATAAACCATTCGGTCAATACTACGTACTATCAATGCGAGGAGTGAAGGGTAAGTAGAATATTGATGAGGGTATGATCTAGGCTATCCGCTGATAAATGCTACCAAAATGTGTAAAAAGAAATGTCTATACTACAGTGATTTTGTGCTTTCTCTATGTTCTCAAGTCTCGTGCCGTGATCGCTCTATGCAATAAGGCTGTGAAAGTCAGAGTCGAACTTGACTGGGAACCTCTTTCTCCCCTTAGCGTCAGCATTCACGAAACAAGCCATCTTGTTCTTCGGGCAGTGGAAAGAGCCCATGCCGTTCTCTTCAATCGTGACTGCGGCCGACTCCATTCCGAGAACATCGGTCCAGGTTTCCCCGGCGTGGTCGACACCAACTGACATCGACAACCGAGTATCGGTGTGTTCAGCCTGTGTCCAGCTCATGACGACGGCCATACCGGCGGGTCTCTCTTCAGTTCCGCGTCTGACCCATCCGATGCAGTCGGGCCGCTCAAAATAGTCTTGTTGCTCTCCGTAAGCGTAAAGCTTTCGGGCCAACAGAAGGTTGGGAAGGTCTTGGATAGGCGCTTCGGGATGGGTAAGCTCGATGCCGTACAGATCACCGAAGAAGACACATGGGTGACCATCGCGTCTTAGAAGAATCATGGAGTAGGCAAAGGGCATGAACTCCTTGCAGATCGGAGTGTCCATTTGCTGACCCTTCTGGGTGTCGTGATTGCGAATGAATGTCTGTAAATTGTTATTAAGGAGATCAAATTTGTGAAAATTCAACAGACTTACGACAGCATTGTTTGGCCGTTGCTCCACCAGCGTGTCTTTGAACACCTGTCTCAAGTCGGTGTCACGGTGCCATGACAATCTTTCGATGTGGTACATGAGAGGCACATCGTAGAGGCTGAAGAATGACGGCATGTGCTCCAACCAATTGTTCAAGACGCGCACGTCTCCGTGCCAGAACTCTCCAATAAACATTAGATCATTGCGATTTGCTGGCTTCCTCAAGTGCTCGGCCCATTTGCTGATGAAGTTCCATGAGATGTGCTGTACGGCATCCACGCGGAAGCCTTTGAGCCCGAGCTCATCCACAATCCACTTGCCCCACTGATGCTGCTCCTTGACGACCTCGGGGTTGGTGTAGTCGAGGTTCTCGAGCATCAGGTAGTCGGCGTTCCCTTGGAGGTCGCCGACGTCTTGGTGCCAGTTCTTGCCTTCTTCTACGAACCTGTAGATGGCGCGTTTCTTGTTTTGCTGGTTCCAGTCTGTGCCGTTGAAATGCGACTTGTTGTATTTGAACTTGCTGTACTTCCCCCCTCTAGCTTTGTAGTCGAATTTAGTCCATGACTCAATCTCATAAACATCCGTGATGTCTCTCCGTCTATCTAAAGCGTGTGTAAGCAGTCGAGGACTAACAATAGCGGAATATGATAGATAAAGCTTACCACGTGGATCAGCCTCGACAACTTTTATCATCTCAGTTCCGTCAGCATAGGCGCGATGGTTGTGAATAGCGTCCCAGACGAGCCCAATGCCATGGTGCTCCGCGTCCGCCGCCAAAAACACAAGGTCTCCCTTGCTCCCCCATTTTGTGGGTACTGAGCCCTTTTGATCAAACTCTCCTAGATCCCAGGCGTCGTAAATGTCGTAGCCGTTACTCTCGGGATCCTTGGCCTTGCTTCCGGGCGGTAGCCATAGGCTATTCACCCCAACGGATCTCAGTGCCGGCAATGCGCGCCGGAGCCGTCGCCAGTGCTTGTGGTCGGCGGGCAAATTCCACTCGAAGGCTTGCAGTTGCACCGGGTTTTCAGATCTCTCCGGGCGAGGCAATTGGTGATGAGACTTGCTCCGCGGAAGGGTCTCCGTAGGTCTGACTTCTACACGGGGTGAAAGCTGGTGAAATGACTTGCTTCTGGGCAACAATGCCTCCTTGGCTCGAAATTCAGCAGCCCAGAATTCTGTAGTTCTAATGCGAATCTTGATTGGCTGACCGGTGCTCGGCCGCGAAGCCGTAGTTGGGTTTCTCATTTTTGTTGTACGATAAACGAAGCTAAGGGGAAAAGTCAAGAAATGGATGATGTGTCGTCATGTATACGGCTTGGTGGTCGGACATCCCTCTTTATCTATACGCACACGCAATCCTAAAGAGGCGCGAAGTTAAGGTCGGGACTGCGTATCCGTACATGTCTCCCGGTGCCTTGTACTCCGTACGGTGGCTTGCGCTTCAAGGTTTAATGTCCCTAGTAGGAACAATTTCAATGTCCGAACCGTCTCAACCCAACACTCTAACCCGGGGTTGAGAGCTCGACCAATGATGTCCAGTGACGGTTCCAAAGGGTCCAGAAAGGCATAGACATTGTCAGCTCACGTGTCTCATACATCAGCCGTTCCAGAATTACAATGCTTGGTGATGTTTGGCGAGTCGTCTGGGGGCTGTACGCTTCGCGTTCGCATTCACGAGTCGCATCCGTTCTCGAATGCGAGATTTGATACGAGCGGGTCGACTTATCCCTTCCCCCAAAAACTTGGCCCCCTTCCAAGGAACCCAGCCACGGAACGAGTCGGGCCAACATGGTGAGCAATGCGGCCATTGACAACGTACGGAGTACGTAGACGGAGACCAGCACGGTCACCGCCATGGCGTTTTGGCGCATTGGCTTGCCAAGTCGCGGCAGCGCTTGACACCAGGAACATAGGGAGCCGGGACGGATTGAACGGGGTGTCGGGACTGATGAGCGTCGCAGACGGGACCAAGACGATCATCAAATTACCGATAGCGAGATTGGCCTGAGCATAAACTAACAACGTAAAGACCCCTAAAACCCCCCAACACGAAAGCGACCTTAATTTGCATTGTCGTAAGTTAAGCACAGCCGGGAGGCCTACGTGCACGTTAGAGTGTCAAGTCTAATGAGCAGAATAACCTTATCAATTTCAAATGATGCAAAAAGGAAGGGAGAACAACTAAAGAAGGGCCGGCAGACATTTGGGCCGCTCTGATCGGTGTGGTGTGGGCTGTCGCTGCCAACTACGCATCTGCCAGTGTTTGGTGTTCCCACAACACACTTTCAAAATTCCACGTGTCGTTCGCGTGGAGTTCTGGGGTTATCCTTTTAGGTTGCAGCAATAAGTCTCAAACGTTGTTCGCATCCGGCTCAGGATGCATCATCAAGGTGGTAATCTGCTGATCTATTCAGGCATATCTACCTGTACGGGCTACCTTAGGTACTGCAAATCATCAGACGCATCTCACAGAAGTAAGACATGGCTCTTTCAGGCAGACCTGATAGTATTGAAAATGTCTGTGACGCTATGCTGCATGTTTTAACTTCAGACCAAATCTAACGGTTGTGTGTTTGCCCGAGCCTATCTAGATCCAGATCGTCTCTTCAACCCCTGCGGCCGACGGGATAATACCTCAGTGCGATCTCATCTCGTCAGGTTCCCGAATAATGCGAGAGCCTGCCCGGGTTTCCAGCACGGGAACCTCAATGTTCCAGCCTACAGACGCCAGTCTCCTCGCGTACAGCTCGTACTTTTCGTTTGCGATTTGCAAACTCTCCTCCACGTGGCCCAACATTGCTTGTTGATCGAATTCAGCTCGCACCAAGTTCGCCTCTTCCTGTCCGCTCAATCTTCTGGCCAGCAACAGACCGTGGAACCAGGCTTTCAGCTGTGACCTCGGCGTCACGCCCTCTTTCAGGACAACCACAACCTTGACTCTGGAGGCTGCATCATTGGAGGCGGCTGATACTTGACACCAGAGAATGTACTGCTCGCCGTCAAATACGTCCATCAGTGTGTACAGGTCAACACTTGAAAGTTGGAACGACATCTCGTGGCTCTTCCCAGAGGCCAAGGCTTCAAGCAGGGTCTTGAGGGGTGCCCCGTACTTACAGTGGCCAAACACTGGCCCTGAGTTCCAGCGGAACACCTCACCCCCACGCCTCTCGAAGATGAGTTCTCTTTGGGAAACCTTCAGAGGTGTGAGGACTTCGTCTTTCGAAAACAATGCTGATAAAGCAATGTTGGCGCGTTGGCGATTCAGCTGACGTGAGTGTACTGCTCGAACGCCCCTCCAGTTGAGAAGCAGGTGGACGCCCAGTAGGATGAAGAGCACGATCCATGATAGTGTCTCGTCGGTTAGGAAATACAACAGACATGTTCCCGTCTAAGTATGCCTCTGTTAGTAATGTGCGCTCGGAGATGGGGGCATTTTTGTGGTCGACTTACAAGCATTCCTATCAGAGAAATGGCTGTCTCTTGGCTGGCATCTTTCTACGTACTGTTAGCAACCACAATCTTGCATACGTCTTTATTGTGATAAGTCTCAACACTTACAGCATTAAGCTCCCCCAAATTGTTCCACTTGGCAAAGTGGCCACTGAGACTGCTTTTTGATGCGTTCCCAACGACGCCGGATGCGGAATACAAGATGCTGGAGAGACAGAGAACCATGAACCTGGCTTCCTGCGGGAAATACGGAGATGCACAGTCGAGAACCATTGCTGTGTCAGTCAACAGGTCACAGGCCATGCGGTACGCCTTGCATTCTGCTTCGATAGAAGTTGCAAACAGATGAGCAAATGTGATTGTTGCGAGTCTTCCCATGGACTCTCGAGTGACTTGAATGAGCATAGCCCCGGTTGGCGATGCTAATGAGTCGCCAACACCAAGACCTGTTCGAGTTATCAGAATTTAGTACGTGACAACACACTACGCAATCACATAACGACTTCTGATGGAGGACAGCTTTAGCCGGGGCAGCGCAGAGAAGTTCTTACCTTGCCAAACAGCACGCGATGAAATCATGCCGGCGATTGTGCCAGCGAAAGCTTGAAGAGAGTCCTACTTGAGTATAAGCTGGATTGGACACGCCCTGATCTGCATCGGTGTTTACTCACATAAATCTGATATTCAGCATAGTCATCTGTTACGCTATGCGGGTAGCCATCTGGCAAGAATATATCGAGAAGCTCTTGGCAAGGCTTCTTTCTCTTGGGTGGGAGCTACGCAAATGAGTGTCAGATCACATGCAAACTCTCTTCTTGTCTTCCTTCAGGACATCAATGGAAGGAGTAGGTCCTCCATGTTGTTCGCGGAGCTTACCGTGAGATCAACCCTAGATGATCCGGCAATCGGAGCCGACTCGATATACTTGGTCTTGAGGGCTCCGGCTTTGTCATATTCGGCAAGAACTAGAAAGCCTGATCTCTTCCTCAGCATCGTCGGCGTCTCTAGGACGGTTTGCGTCGAGCCCGTTGACATGGTCTAGCGCGCTCTTGGGAAGTTGTTGATGAAAGGACGTTTCGATTCGAACTTTCGAGATTTGGAAAGAAAAGATGAGCTGGGTCCCTTTTTTTTTGGAGTGAAAGAAGATTAGATTGAAAAGCAGAGAGATCAAAGAGGCTGGCGTGACGTGCAGGAAGAAAGTAAGCACGCAAGAAAATGGGCAGAGACCTTTCCCGGTAAGAAGAAGAAACGGATACGGGGATACGAAGAGGACTGCAGGAGATTTCGCGCGCGTGTGAGGACCGTTTTGGTTCGTTGCCATCAGCGGCGAACAACAAATAGTACATGTAAACACGGCCATAAATGACTCTCTACGAAACTTTCCGGGCTATGCAGCCGCCGCGTCCTTGTCTGGCCCCCTGGGGTCAAACATGTTCGATGATCTGTCATTGTTCCCCTTCTGCCCTATGTTGACAAGTCAATGTCAGGACTGGGTGTCATAGGAGCGGAGCGCAGGTGTGTGTCTGTGTGGGATCTGAATGGGCCGCTGGGGTAAAAAAACAATAAACTCTCAACCGCAGAGTGCCTCAGAACATTGAACATTTTTATCTCGCCCCTCCGCAGATCGTTTCAAAAGATGAGATTTTTCGTCAGATTGCGGGCTTGCTCGAGAAAGTGGATATAACGTCAGCATACAACTCAGATCAGCTCGGGCCCGGTACGAATGACACGAAATGTCAGCGACGAACCACCCACGGCCAGCCCGTCGCGAAATATGGGATGAAGTGGTTCTAGAGACGTTCCGGCTGAGGCTCATTCCGGTGGGGAGGGCGACGTAAGCCTATGGATGCAGATTGGGATTCAGCTCCCTTCTTCCGCGTATTTGTCTTGTTCCGCCTTGAAGGGCTGAACTTGAGGTTGAGCAAGTTCCAGGTCTATCTCTGGCTTCGTTCTCACCACCAAGATGATGTGGAGAACCGCGTAAGACAGCGAAAATCTCTCTAGGACTTCGCAGCACTCTGTGGTTGGGATAGTTGGTTGTGTGAACTGGATCGTCAAGCTGCCAAAAGTCAGAGAACTGATTGCAGCCTTTGTGGGTTTGATAGCCGGGTGACAGAACTCAGTTCTCGCAGAAAGGCGCGTTTTCCCCCGCTGTCGTGCATCATGAGGCGCAGTGACCGTTGTGTTAAGGCCCGTCAATTGGACGATTTGACTTGTGTGTTGAAAACTCTACTATTCGTATTCTTATCGATGCCAACATGCCTATTTAGGAAACGATTCCCGTGGGGACAATAAAGGTGGAAAATCATCCACTTCACTTTGAGTATTGACTCAAGCACTCTTTTCCATGGTTGTCCACTTCGAAGAACTTGTTTGTCCGGTCGGCTACCCTCGAGCCGTCTTGAAGTGGCTACATGAATGGAGGCCAACATCTAGAATCAGTCAGCAACATGACTCTCGCGACATCCAGCCCAGCAAATTATACGAATACTATACTTGCCGAAATTGGAATTATGGCAGGGGGCTTCAGTGCCGAAAAGCTTGTATCCGGATGGGAAGGTTAGCGTTATGAGTGTGCATGCCACCTTGTTCCTTGTACAATGCTACACCTCCAGGCCTGCGAGCCGCCAAGATCTTCATCCCACCGGACCGGAAGAAGGAGGCTAGGGAAGTCCCTGCTGAAGGCGGCACGGAACGCTACTCAACTTGAACAGTATTCGCTTCAAGATCCTGCTATAATAGCTGAATACGTGTTCCAGCCGTATCCCCTGGGCGTGTTAGTAAGGACCCAACTTATTCGTGCATAGTAAGCGGGAGTTGACGGTTCGCGGAAAACCTGTTTCACTCTAATCATTCGAGTCTACGGTTGAAAGGGCCTGTGACTGACTTGGCTTACACGCTTTGGATAATGTGATTTCCGAAGAGCGTTATTTCGCCTGCGTACATGTAAGAAAAGGCCTCCTGGTTAAGGGGTAAGCAATCATCGTGACTTCATCAAGTGATAATGTGCCAGGCATTCAGCTGGAGCACTCCAGTAGAAGCACACGACGATACATCAACGCCTCCGGCTTCGGCCGGGGCAGCATCTCGCAGGAGACGGGAATTGTGGGTATCCCGGTGTGTTGCGCTCCGTGTTGCTGCAGTGATTTTCAGCTTCCGACCTTCCGGCCCTCCGGATTCCAGGTCTTCCGCAACGACAATATGCAGGCCTTACTTCTAAAGGGCGAGCTCCGTTCACTTCAGTTGAGGGGCACGCGGAGCTTCCTCAAGCCAGCCCACATGAGCAACAGAGTCTAGAAGCCGTGCCAGCCTCTCGTCCAGGACAATCACAGCGCTCTCTCGAGTGGGAATGATCCTGATTCAGAAGGGGTAATGGGACTTGCATGTCACAGAAAAAGGCCAAAATGAAAGCAATGATTATGAATTCGATTTGGTATTTGCCAGTCTCAACACCTCCAAGACACGAAGGAAGGCTGAGACTAAGTACTAATTTATACGAGAACAATGAAACGACTTTGGTATGGTAGAAACAAAGAAAAAGCCCGCCCAAGAAACAACAGAACAGTAACGTCAAAGAAAAATTACAGAAACAACGCTCATGAATCCCAAATCGGCCCAAATGCAGGAATTCCCCTCGCCTCCATCCGATACACAAACTTATTCACAGTAGGCCCGTTGGAAATAATCGCAACACACTCGGCCCCGCTCTCCTTATACACATTATACGCCGACTGCACCAAGTCAGGCCTACCACGCTCATCCGTATCCCAGATCAACGCGTCCGGGTCCGCCTTGAGAATTAGATCCATGACGCCCTGGCCGTACGTCTTGAGCGGGTTCTTGGTCGACCAGACGACGCGCGCGGGCACCCTCCGCTCCATGAGAACAGGCAAACAGGGACCAATACCGGAGCCCGTTGCCACGAGAACCATCTTCTTGAAGAGGGGGGCGACGGCGAGGACGCCTGAGGCGGGTGTGCCGCGGGTCCAGATCGAGGTGGGCGGGTTCTCGATGATGCGCTTAGTCCAGTCGCCGGCCTTGGAGACGACGATGGAGAAGCCCTTGCCGCTCGGCTCCGGGATGGCGGCGAAGGCGTGCCATTCGACCATTGGTCTATCCGTGATGCGGACGCCGCGCGAGGTGCATGGCCCCGGGGTGCAGAAGTCAAAGTGCAGACGGACGGCGTGCTTGGAGAGCGGCTCGGGGACGACTTTGACGCGGCGGAGGCGCATCCAGGGGAGCGCGATGCTGAGGGATGTGAGGGCCACGAGATAGAGCGCGGGGGTCTTTGCCAGGGCCGGACCGAGGGGTTCGGCGGACATGGAGGCCGCGGTCGCGATGACATGGGCCCATACGAGAGCGAGGGCGGACCAGCCTGCGAAGCGGTGCGTCCACTCGAACTGGTCGTGCATCTTGGCGCGGATGGTAGGGTAGGCCATGACGAGGATCATGAGGAGAAGGAGGAGGATGAGGTAGGTTAGGACCAAGGTGATGAGGTTGACGGAGTAGAGGGACTGCGGCGCGATGAAGCTACCGGTTGCAGCGCCCGTGAAGATGACCCACCACACGGTGGCGGAGACGGCGCAGCCCGAGTGGACGCCGCCATTGTGGTAGACACGCGCAAAGTGTCTGCGGATGGCGAGCGGAATGGAGGTGGGCACGCGGGAGCAGAGCCAGAAAATGAAGTTGACGACGTAGTCCTGGCGCAGGAGAACGGCGCCGAGGAGGTTGGCGGCGACGGCGGTGGCCAGGTGGTTCAGGGGCAGAGAGAAGTTGCTGTTGCGGCTCTCGTACAGCATCCACACGAAGACAGCGAGGTTGGAGACGAAGATGACGCCAAAGAGCTTGCGGTAGACATTGAGTCCGCGGTGACGGATCCATCTCCAGCCGTGGAAGCCCTTCTTGGAAGGGAGCTCGTACTCTTGTTCCTCTTTCTCGGCCTCCTCCTCGACGAAAGCGGCTGTCTTCTCCAAGTCGATGTTTCTCTGCTGAGAGTCGACGACGGTGAAGGTGCGAGAGTCCACGAGTGTGAAGCCGCCTTCGCTGGTAGGGCTGACGGCCGTCTTGATGGTCGAGGCGCTCGACGATTCCTGGGGCGTCGACATGCCCGTCGGAATATCGGCCAGAGGCAGCGGCGGCGGAACCTGGGCCGCGCCGGAGGCGATGTCGCGGAGGGCCCGCTTGTCGACCTTGCCGTTGGGGGTTAGCTCGATGACGGGGAGGTACTTCCAGACGGTCGGGACGGCGTAGAACGGTTGGCCCTCGCCGACGACAGTCTTCAGCTGAGCTTCGTCGATCGGCGCAGGGGCAGAGTAGAAGCCCCACAGACGATCGTCGATTTTCAGCGCACATCCCTTGACAACGCCAGGGCATTTTTCAATAGCGCGGGAGACGCCATCGAGCTCGACGCGGAAACCAGAAATCTTGACCTGGTCGTCTTTCCGGCCGAGGGGCTCCAAGCTACCGTCTTCGAGCCAGCGGGCGAGGTCGCCAGTGTTGAACATCATACGACTATGTTTGGGTTTACCTGTTAGCGTACTTTTCTCTCAAGTCTCGGCCGCAAAAACGTGGATAAAAAGAGGCGCAAAACCAACCCATCCTTTGTGAACTTGTCGACCTTATATCTTTGTGCCGTCAACTCCGGCAGGTTGAGATACCCCCTAGAAACGCCTAGGCCGCCGGCCCACATGACGCCGGGTTCGCCAATCTTGACAGGGTTCTCATCTTCGTCGAGAATGTAGACGTTGGTGTTGGGGTTAGGCTTGCCAATCGACAAAGTCTTGCCCGGCTTGTGAAGGTGCGCGGTGTTGAGAATGCTGATTTCAGTAGGACCGCATACGTTCCAGAACTTGACGTAGGGCGCCCAAAGCTCGGCGAGGGCCAATGGGCAGGGCTCGCCGCCGACTGCAATGGTCCTGATGTTGGGGAAGTCCTCGCGCCTGGGCATGCGCTTGAGGACGACGGAGGGTGTCGCGATGACAATGTCGACACGTTGCAGGCAATCCGTCCAGAGATCATTGCCGCTGCCTCTGATGTGAAGTGTTCCTCCGTTCATCATCGTGCCGAGAATCTCCCACGCGCCTACGTCTCACATTGCCGCGTCAGCGTGGTCGGACACTAGAGGAATAGAGTTTGAGACATTTGACTTACACATATCGAACCCGACGTTCAACAGTTGCGCTACGTTCTTTCCGACGCGGATGCCCAGCTTGGAGGGCTCCGCTAGAAGGGTGTTGGTAACGCCCTCGTGTCTCACATCCACTCCCTTGGGTCGCCCGGTAGTGCCCGAGGTGTAGATCACATAGGCTCCATCCTCTGGCTTGACAATGACACCGGGGTGCCCATTGTTGCCGTGCTTCCACAGCCAACTGTTCGCGTCGAGGTCTACCACCCTGACAAGGTTCCGCCTTTCCGAGGGGATGCTGCGTAGCACCTTCTCTCTGAACTTGGGAAGGCACAGGACAACCGGCGCGTTGGAGTCGATGATGTCATAGCCGAGTGTGTCTTCGGGGATGATGCCACCATCGAGAGGGACATACTGACCACCCGCCTTGAGAACGGCAAAGATGAAGACGACCATTTCGATACAGCGAGAGTAGACGAGGACTACACGGTCTCCTTTCCTAAGGCCGTATGTTCCTCTGAGCTCGTTGGCGAGCACGTTGGCCCTGCGATTGAGCTCCCGGTATGTGATAATTGTGCCATCGTAGTGTCGGACAGCCGTGGCGTCAGGATGTGCTGCCGCGATGGACTCGAAGGCGTGGTGGACGACGTGGTAGGGTACCACATCACTCGGTCCTCTGCTGAATTGGTTGAAGAGAACTCTGTCCGCCAGGGACAGGTTTTCCAGCGAGTGGAACGAACGCGAGGGAACCATGATGAGGAGCTTCTGGATGTTGATGCCCTGCAGTGATGTTGCCTACCAGTAACACGCCTCGTAGCCACATCTCGAGAGGTGGGCACCTCGAACCAGATATATCTCCTCCCGGGACCATCGCGTCTGTGTGTTCGTGCGCCAGTGTCCTCGAGAAACGGAGAAGCGCCAGAGACCCTGCGCGGCCTTGTGGGGGAGTGCATTCTTTGTTTTGGTAACTTCGCCAAAAACCTGCCTAGATTGCCTCAAGCTCCGTGTTCAAACAAGGTTCCATATTCCCAGAGCCCCCCGTCCGCCATGGCATGGTTCATGGATGATATCAGGGCTGGACTCTTTGCTTCTTTCAGCTCCTTCCTATGCAGACATTTGTTTTAGATAGTGTGGAGAACGCAAGGAACCTTGCAAGAATATGGATGTGATCGGGGTCCCTCGATGAACGAAAGCAGTTTCTGTACGGAGAAGCGGATCCTCGACCATGGATGCAAGCGCGAAAGAGTAGAGGGAGGCTATATTCCGTTGTGACAGGCAAGGTCGCCAAGGGAGCATCTGGAGCAGTCGAAAATCCGCCTCCTCCCCTTTAGATAAGGGCAAAATTTTTGTCGTAACGACCTCCTCCATTCCGCGGTAACAGGACCGCTGGCCATCCGGCGGGGCCATGCCGGACGAGACGTCCAAATCCGGGAAAAACGGAGGTCAATCCGGACCAGATCCGCCCAATGCGGCAGCTGTCGCCTTCTGTCTTGTCGATGGAGCACCTTGCCAGGCGTTGCCGTGGGATGTAACAAGGGGCACGGCAGTGGAGGACGGACGTCTTGAAGATGGATATGTCCAGGGGGGCTGACGAAGTTGTTGTCAATCAGTCGACATGTGCCATCCATTACGTGCCGCGATCGTGGAGGAGGAGGAAAGGGAAGCTAGGCGCCTGTGCGGGTTGTGCCTTGCTTCGGACATGGATGGTGCCCCTGTCCGCACATCGTCCCGGGGGGAACCCTGGCTTCCGCGGCTCATGATGCTTGTCGACCGTTTGGCCGCCCACCCCTCTCCCTTGAACGACCCTCATGCCAGTTTTGTCCTCTTCTGCGACTGCGAGTCCACCCCCAGCCGAGATGTGACGCTACTCCAGGTCGACACTCCCCCCTCGGCCGGATTCGGTCATAACAGGGTGGCACTCTCTAATAAAGTGCGGCGATGTTGTTGCTGGCGAAGAAGAAAAAGGGTTCCGGGAGAAAGAAAGCAAGACCCGGGAGAAGAAAAGATCCGACGACTTCTTTTGTCTCTCTGCCATGTGTTGACCACGCTGCTTCAACAAGCCATCAACACCAACACTGCCCCTCTCTCGCCTGAGTTGCCTCGCCTTACCTCCAAGTTTACACGTTTTTTAATCAGTTGTTGCATTCCGGTGATCCGCTAGCCCCAAACTCTTTTTCTTCTTCTTGTGGTCCTATTCCTGCGGTAACCTCATCCGACTCCCGAGAAATCATGGAGAACCTCACCACTCTCAAGTTGACGGCCGACTCCGAAAAGGGCGTCGCCCTCGTCCGATTTGACCGTCCAGCCAAGAGAAATGCCTTCTCTCAGGTCATGATCGGCGAACTTGTTTCGACTCTGGCTCATCTCGATGCCCTGGACACCGTTCGCGCCGTTGTCGTCACCGGTGGCCCAGAAGGTCCTTTCTGTGGTACGTTTTGCAATTCTCCTCATACCGGTCGAGACAGATTTCAGAGTTTGGCTCCAGAAAACCATGTCTGGAGGGGGCGCAACAAGCTTACCCCCGTCGTCGGATCTCTGTCCTCTTCTCGTCTTCCTCGGCTTCATTTGCTTTTTCTTTCACCCTTCCACGTGCATCTGCACACTCTCGTCGTTGGCGCCGCGCACGGCAGTCAATGATTTCCCGCCCAAGCAACTGCCATCTCAACTCCATCTGATTCCCCACGGACTTGATACACAGGGGGATGTCCGCTGTCGTTCTTGTTTCCAAGTCCCTGAAACGTCATGAAAATCCGCACCAGGGGCCCACTGGCGGGCCCCTCTCTCATCTAATCTAATGGAAGCGCGACGTTGGCTAATCCGTTTAATGGTGCAGCCGGGATGGATCTCAACGAGTTGGTGCAGATCTCCACGGCAGCGGCCCACCAGCGCGCCTTTCTCAAGGACCTCACAGACGCCTTTGCCAACTTCTCCAAACCCATCATCGCGGCTGTAGTTGGTTTCGCAGTAAGTTGTGCTGTCGGAAGTGGGAGCCGCCTCCGACTACCTGTGCTTGGTTTCTTTTTCTCTGTTGCCTCGCATGTCTCACAGAAACAATGCTAACGTGAGAGCCTCAAGTTGGGCGGTGGTTGCGAGATCGCTTTAGCAGTAAGTCAAGAGTTGCCCCGACATGTTTCTGCGAGGTAGAACCTAAACGGCTCACACTTCACGATCCAGTGCGACATGATCTACGCCGCCGAAGATGCTTCGTTCGGACTCCCAGAAATCAAGATCGGAACGATCCCAGGCGCGGGCGGCACTCAGCGTCTAGCTCGTGCGTTGGGCAAGCACAAGGTGAGTAGCCAAAACCAGTCGGTTGACTCGTGGTGGCCGACTTCAACAGCCGAAATCTTCGCTCTCACCTTGAAACGGACAAACTGACCATCTGTAGGCCATGGAGTTCGTGCTCACCGGCGACTCAGCCAGCGGAGCCGAGTTTGAGCGTCTCGGCGTTGTCAACAGGGTGTTCCCTCGTCAAGAGGTCGTGCCAGCTGCCATGAAGCTCGCTGAGCGCATCGCCATCATGTCGGGCCCCGTAACCAAAACCGCGAAGCAAGCCGTTCTCACAGGTGGGTGGCTCCGACTCCAAGACCGCTAATACAGGGTGGCTCCGGATCCTACTTAGGGATCGAGGGGGCGGGCCCCTGTGCGGACCCCGTGTTCTGGCTCGCTAACCCTGCTACAGTCGAGAATAGCCATCTTGATGCCGGGATGACCATGGAGAAATCTCTTTACTACTCGACTTTCAGCCTTGGCGATTTCAATGAAGGAATGACCGCATTCCTGCAAAAGCGACGTCCCGACTTCAAGCACACGTAGGTTTCGGGTGGCCCGTACGTAACTTTCGGAAGAGAACCGCAGCAAATGTCACGCGCCGGGTACCGCGCTGCAAGGTCATCGTACGCACTATAATCGGTAGACTCCGTCTGCTCGGATGACTCGACCCAACTACTATACTCGAGTCCGTGGTTTCCACGCGCCTCGGGCTTATCGTTGTTGACTCGTTGATTACTGATGGTCGGGGACCATATTCGTAGCGATGCTGGGCAGCAAACTCTAGATACGGAAGCTGATGAATCGAACCTTCTTTGAAATGACATGTCGCCTTCGACTTCGGAAGCAAAAACAGAGCGATTGCACTCTAGAAGCCCATCATGCAAGCTTGGCATCGATATCGTGATAGTGCACCTCCTCGATTTGGATGGTATGTCAATGCCACTGCACCCCCATCATCTTGTCAAAGGAGGGACGGTTATGTGAGCATGGAGGAACCTTTGCGCCGAATGTTGCTGTCATCTGCGCGGCTTGCATTGTGCAGCGCGTTAGACGGTTACACTGCCATCCGTAGTCCAACCCACCACCCGAATCTTCAATACTCAAGCGCACATGCAAATGGTCGTTTTCGTAAGGTAGCCATGGATTACGACTTGCCATTTTCGCCTAGGTCCTGTTTCTCCCTGCATATGTTATTGCCTCTAGAAATACATTGAAAAAAAAAACATCTTGCAGTTTCGTGTCCATACCGTGCCTGGACTTGTTTTGCTCTCATGCTTGGCTGCCTCAAACGTTGTGCTCCCCTGGGGTGACTGCAACTGCGCCATTTTACCCGCGCGCAGCACTCGGTGCAACGTTAAAGCGTTGTGCCTGTTGTCCCGACATCAAAGATGGAATTGCGCCACCCGTCTCGCTGATACTCGTGCACTCTGTCGCCTGCCAGCACAGCCTCTTCGTTCCACATTTTAACGAGACTGCCAGGGGCGTACACACCCTTGAAAACTCCGCGTCCAGGCTGCGCGACACCCACCCGGGTGTAAAGGTCGGGGTCCTCGGGGGGCACCAGTCTGGCCGCCACGGCCTTGAGGAATGTCCACATATCCTGCGGGTCGGCAATACGAGTGGCCCTCAATCGTTCGCGTGCGAAAAGAAGTTCTCTGTTGGCGAAATGAAGCAGCTCGCCAATGCTGGCCGCAATCTGAGCTTCCAATGCGGCCTTGACCGTTGGCCGAATCAGAGGCTTGAGTAGCCAAGCGAGCCACGAGAACTTGCTCTTTCGGAGGCTGTAATTGAGATGGTGGATGCGGACGCGGACATTGTGCAGCGTCAATATGTCTTCAAGCCGCTCCTTTCCAACCTCCACATCGATGGCAACATCGATTCCACGCTCATCCAGGTAAAAGCCCGCAATGCCAGCATCGGCCAAACTCAATATTCCCGAGTGGAGGCGCAGCCAATATCCGAGGTCTTCGGCGGCAATCGACAATCCTGATACTGTAATTCTCATGAGAGTCTTCACCGAAGACGTGGTACGAAAGCGGGCCTTGCGGATCTCGACATCATTTTGTGTGGAAATATTGATCTTGAACGGTAGGAAGGAGCTGTTGTTGACGGTGCGCCCCGGTTCCAAAATAAGGTTCTCCAAGAGAAGATCGATAGCCGGCACCGATACTTCCACCCGGGGAATCGGGATGTACTGAATTGCCTGCACTACCATGGGGATGAAGACGTTGATGGAGTCCGCCACCAATTCGCCGTTGGTGTATTGATGTGCAGGTGACAAAATCCGCAGAATTCGCCTTGTGGTATTCATTGCCTTCTTGATATCCGTGTCTTGGAGCACAGAGTTGAGGGCAAGGTAGACCTTCTCCAACAAAACATCAAGATCATCACGTATTGAGGACTCGGATGTCAACTGTCTTGACTTGGCTCTCAGTTCCTTGAAGCGGTCCTCGGCGTGATCGAAGAAGTCAGGGTCCGTCAGTATGTCCTGAAGCAGATTGCCGATCTGTCTGATAAGATTGTCGAACTCAAGGTCGCTGCGGCCATGCTCCATGACCGCCTTGAACTGAGCCTCGACATCATTCCAGTGCTCGCGGCTACCCAAGGACGTCAAGAATAGCCAAAAGTTGTGGAGTGCACGATCAGCCTCTGGATTGGTGTCGATATCTTCTTGGGCAACCTGGATGGTATCGGAAACTGCGTGCGAATAGGCCAGCAAATATCGCCGGATGAGTAATGAAAGAGTCGATACCGAGTCAGAGTAGTCTTTTCTCTCACGCAAATTGACAATCGTGCTCTTGAGCCTGTGCACTAGCGTCTCTTGTTCGTCGCCAGTGACATGCTCCGTCAGGCTCTGGCCCGCTTCGTCAGCGACACGGGCGACGCCATCAGTGACAACCTTTGCGATGTCAACGACCTCATCCTCAAAATCGTCTTTAGTCGGGGGAGGCTTCGAATCCCCGTTGGCATGTTTGACGGCTTCCTCCTCCTCTTTTGAGGGTTCAATATCCTTGGCCGCCTGCTTCGAGACGTCCGACAGGGTGAACGCAGTGTCGCGGAAGACCTCTCGACCAATGGTGCTCAGATCCGAAAGTAGGAGGCGGAAATCCGAGTTGGTTAATATCAAGGAGCCAACCGTTTGCAAGCTTTTGTAAGCTTGGCAATTGTCAGTTTAAACTCTGGACAAACTTTCTTTCCTAGGTTGGAGCGGACGTGGGGTTCCTCGTGTTATTTAAAATGAGATGACCCACCTGCCACAGTGTCGGCTCTTGCCTTCGCCTTGGATGCTCGTGCACCGATGTCGTACGCATCCACCGACAGACGAGCCTTGGTGAGATACCAGATAAAATCCTGGATTTGGTCTTTGTCATTCTTGTGCAGTAGTAGCTCTATGAGTTGCTTGATCAAAAGCTTGACGTTGAGAACCAGGGCTCGTCCGGAGTCGCTGAGATCGGGGGTATCAGGGTTGAGGACGTCAGCAGACAGGAGACTGCGCAGGTTGATGATGAGCTGTTCATTGGACGGCATATAACCCTTCCCGATGGCGCGGAGCATCTGGTATGTGTGTAGCTTCTCGTGCAGGCGCTGCTGTAAGGCTGTGTCGTCTTTGTAGCGCGGCAGTAGAGGTTCGCGCTCGCGATCCTCGCGCGATGGGCGGCCGAAGCCGAAGAAGGACATCATCTCGTGCTACGGCTGCAGCTGAAGCCTGCTGCTTTTCTCGGTGCACTTTGAAGGATACTGATGGCCAGATTGTTCTCAATCAGGGGAAAGATATCGTCGCTGTGTTTGGGTTGGATTGTTGCTGTGTCGTTGAAAATCGTCACCACCATGGTAAGTCGGTGGACAAAGCTACGCGGGAAGGAATGAACCAGCACAGCAGCAGTGACTGGGCAATGACGTAAGTACAGAGCTAAGGTGCGTATTCGTAGCTGTCGGCCACCAATGGGACGCCGCCAAATCACGAGGCGGAGCATCGTGTCCGAGTCCGGTACGTACAGCCCCGGTCCAGCCAGGAGCTTGGGCCCCAGATCCGACCTGCGAGACCCTGAATGGGAAACATCGAAATTCCAAATCATCAAGATTCCCATCATCCAGTCAGTTGGTAGCTAGACATATCGTCTCCTCCTTCTCTCCGCGATCCCTGCGTATATCCTCACCTTTTGTGAAGAGTAATGATGAGATCGAAATTGGCTTGATTCTTCTCTGGCAATAATTCCAGGTCGCAGGTTCGGGTGCCGGCCAGCTGTACCAAGGTCATACTCCACGGAGTCGTCATCCTCTTCATGCAGCGATCTAATTAACACATTCAGCCCAGTCATTTTGGGCCAAGGCGAAAGGTCATTGTTCGCTTGTGAGTACCCGTTGATCCAACAAAGTGGATGCCTGGGGTCACTTCCTGTCAATCTGGTGCCCGGCAAGCAAACATCCCCGCATCCAACTAGCTGCGTCAGGGGCTGCAGGCAAACTTGTGAGTGTCACTGGACTGCAGATATTATCGGCCGAAAGCTCTCAGCCCTATCCCATTCTATGGCAGGTATGTATGGTCTTTATGCCTCAATTGACATGGATGGTGTAGCCTGAGTAGCACGGCTCCTGCGATGCGACCACACAACTATCCCACACTTTTTAGTCTCGGATGAGTCCGTTTGAACCAGCACCCTGGGCTGTCACGAGAATGATGACGCACACCACTGAACGTCAGATCCATGGATCCGCGGTTATGGCGCTTAACTTGCGGGATGCTCAATAGGTGTTCCAGTCTGGCAAAGGCATGTGAGTGATGTATTGTTCATTGGTTGGAAGCCGCCCGACCTTATATCAACTTCACCGTCTTGTAGTTAGCCAGCACATCGAGCAACCTGGAACATACTAAACCCCTGAATCTGCTAGCGCTCGTTTCAAATGAGCTCACATCACGTCGGAGAGCCATCTAGTTCCTTGATCTAAAATCGTTCATTCCAGTCTATCAGCCTTGGGCCCCGAGACTGAGTCCTCTTCACGGGCATCATGTGTTCTCAACTGTGTCTGCCTTTAGTGACTCTGAAGAAGGCCTATCATGCCGATGACGCGGTTCTCGCACCCTTCATATAATTTCAGCTCTATTAATCTGCCTCTCGAACTTTCTTGGAAAGCTCACGGTTCAGCTTCAGTCGCAGAGAACTCGTGATGCTTACTACCGCAAGACATTAAATCAAAATAGTGCTGGCATCTTCGTTAAACAATGTGTCAATTGAGCGCTTCAACTTTCTCATTACGGCATAATAAACCAATGCGAACCATCAACTTGTTTTTTTCTGGCCGCAGTTGCTGTATCTGACAGTTTCGGAAGGCGACGACCGGCAGTTCTTTCCATTGTTGCCGATCCCGCCAGGCAGCTGTGGTGGAACCGACAGCTCAAGGCAGGCAGCCGCCTCGGTTAACCTGCTTACTAAGGCAAGGTACACGCAGGGCTCCCAATAGGCTCACGGGTACCCGTGAAAATGACTAAGCAAGCTGGCGGCACAGATTGACGAACGCGTCTCGCGTCATTCTACACGTTTCTCTGCTCATGTCAACTCGGCCACAAGTTTCTGAAAAGAATGGAAACAGCCCCGAACAATCCAGCACTCAATTTCCTAGACGACTGTCTACCTTCTAAAAGCGAATATGAATCCCGCGATGACCTCATATTGGCAATTAACAATTGGGCAGCAACAAGGGGATACGCCTTC